GTCATCGTCACTCGATCGAGGCGAGCTGAGCGCGTGACCGTTGCGCATGGGCACACCGTGCGATCAGGCTGCGCGACTTGGCGCCGCGAGGGGAGATCCGATCGGCCAGAAGCCTAGGACGAGCTCCAGGATGCGAAGAGGGTGTTCTTCGACGAACATCTGCCCGGGGCGCGCAGCTTCGCGGACCGACGCCTGCGCCAGCTCGCCCGGTGGCTCACCGCCGGCAAGGCCGTGGCCGAGAAGAGGGACGACGTGATTGGCCAGCTGAGGGACCTGAAGAACCTCGAGGTCGCATTGGATATCGAGAAGCAGGATCTCAGAGGAGAGGACAAAGGTATGGTCGGACGGAGGTATAAGATCGAGGTCGGTTCGAGGAGGGTACCCTGATGTTCTTCGTGTTGGTTGGATGTTCTTGTGCACCCTGAGGAGGGTACCCGTGGATGTTCTGTGCGTTTTGGCCGACGGAGGGTCTCGTGTTCTTGAGGGATGTTCTTCTGGCCTAGTTCCGATTGTACCCCGTTGCTCTTCCTGGAGAGCCCCCGTCGCTACGGCTGGATGCTCCTCGAAATTCTGGTCATCACGCGCTCCAGGAGCGGTCTGCGGAGCACAGCCAGGCCGCTGAAAGGAGGACCACGCGCAGCTCTGGAGGGGCTCTGGTTTTCGGGCACTTCCTTCGAGCTGGGTCGGGAAGCCTGCTCGTCGCCGAGGCTCCCCGCGGCCACAAAGCCCCACTCGTTCCTGGTTCAGCGTTCCTGCTGTTCGCCCGATGGCTGCAGCGGCATCAGTACCTCTCGGCTTCCCCAGGAGGAGGAGGAGGAGGAGGAGGAGGAGGAGGGGGAGGAAAGCCCTGGCCTCTGCCTCCTCGTGCCAGCCCCGACCGCGCTGCGCCGCGAAAGCCTCACGAGGGAGGCGGCGCCCGACCCAGACTTGCCTATACCATTCCTCCTGCCCTTCTCGGGCTCCCCTCGAAGGCTGTAGCCTCCTCCTCCTCCTCCTCCTCGATCCCTCCTCCTCCTCGATCTCTCCTCCTCGATCCCTCCCCCTCCTCCTCCTCATCGACCTTCTCCTCGGTCATTCCTCCTCGATCCCTCCTCCTCCTCCTCCTCCTTCACCTCGATCCCTCCCCCTCCTCCTCGAGCCCTCCACTGGCATCATAATAAACGCGCGGAGGCCTGCGCGGATTCCTTGGGTCCGCAATGTGCCACCCTGGCGGCGCCTCCAGCGCCGCCCCTGGCGCGCTCCACACGCCAGGAGCGCCTGGGGGCCCGTCGGAGAGCCCGGGGGCGCCTGGGAGCACTTGGGAGCGCCTGTCGCCAGGGGGGAAGCGCGTGCTGAGGGAAAAGGGCCCTGAGGCTTCTCACCGTTTTTGGGCTCTCGGGGCCCTCCACGGGCCCCGGGACTGTCGGAAAACGATTCAGGATGAATAACCAGTCCTGCAGGATTAATCCTGCACGGTCCTGAAGAACGAATCCTGCAGGACTCGCCTTGCATGACCCGTTGCCCCCACAAAAAGCCTGGGGGCCCTTCGCACCCCCCGCGGTGATCCCGGCAGGGGCGTGCAGACCGTCCCCGGGGTCCAGGACAGGCCTGGGCCAGGATCGGCGCGCGCGTGAGCAGACATTTGCTGTCGCCACAAGATCCGAGTGCTTATAGTGTGCGGCGTCTAGGCTTAAGTCGGGCACGTCCCTCTACACGAGGAAAATTCAAAAATATTCAAAATATAGTCTGGGGGTGATTCTGGATTATTCTTAGATTATTTTTAGGAACTGTGTGAGTATTTGTATTTGTCCTACGAAATCTGCCTGTAGGGGGGCATGCCCGCCCTAATTGTAGCGTGCGGCGTCTAGGCAGGTGCTTCTTTTCCCATGTCGCTTATTCTTGTTACGTTACTCGGCTTCCTGCTGTCCTGGCAGGAGAAGCACTCGAAGGCGAGGCGCGGGAGCGGCGTGAGCATGGTGAGCTCGCTCATGAGCGTTCCCCATGAGGAGGACAGCCGGTTGAGGAACAATCGTGGCGTCCAAGAGGGTGAGAGCTGGATGCGGACGAGGCGTCGTTCGTTGAGGAATGTGCCAAGGAGGCTTCAGAGCCTGGGGAATTCCTTGTCTGATGAGCGCGGCAGTGATATCCATGTCCAATCCGCGAATGGAACTCCGCTGGCTTCCAGACCCTGGATTCCTTACCCAACGGTTCCTTATCCAATGCACTCACCGTACCTACGTGGCCGCCTGTCTCCCCAGCTCTCGGCCCTGCTGTAGCCCAGGACACCAGCCCTTCACACGTGTATATAACGCGTGGCATCCAGATGTTCCTCATATGAAGCCAGTCCTCTGTGATTATTGGAAAAGGCAGGGCCGTATTTTTGCGACCTTTCAAAAACCTTGCTCTTGAGAACAAAAACGGTAACAAAAAAAGGTTCGCCGAAATGGAACAACAACGGCTCTCGGATTGAAGCCGGGGCCCGATACGGCAAAACCACGGCGACGGAATTGGGGACAGGCATCGTCGTTAGAACATGGGCAAAAACGGCAACACGGAAACAGACAAAACAATCAGCCTTGTCGTTTCCCAGAACCATGAAAAGATCGAGCCAGCCGTATTTGTTTCAGGCTTCCTGGCAGGGCCAGGCTCAGCGGGGAAACCGGAGAGGAAGGTCGGATTGCCCTATAGCACCTGCGTTATCAGCTGCGCCGTGTCGCGTGTCGCCTCGGCGCCGCCGCAGTCATCTCGCACGGTTCTCTGCTGGACATCGCTCGGACGCGTGCAATCTTGTTCGGCGAGGACCATCGAGGAGCATCTTGGGTCACCTTGCGAACAAATGCACTCACGAAATCGAAAAATGCACAGGGAATGGACGTCCGAGCGATGGCCAGCTGAGGCTCGAGAGACGGCACCGAGAGCCGAGTTCAGGGCGGCTCGCCTCTAGCCCCCGAGATGCTCCAGTCTGGCCTTGCAAGCCAATCGGGCCTTCCACTGGTTGGGTGTCCGAGACCACCATGAACCGAACGTGTCCTGAGAGAAACGGGTCCTCAGGTTTTCCGCCTTTCTGGATCCCGGGGCCCCACGGGACGCGGTACCGTCAGATAAGGATCCAGGATGAAGAAGTGGTCCCGGGGGAAGCCTCGGGGTCTAGGATCGCTTTTCTTCAGGAATCCAGTCCTTCATGACAACACGGGGGAGTAAGCGGCAGTCTTCTCAGAACTCTCTAGAATCCCCCATAAGGCAACATTGATCTGCGAGGGCTCTTACCATCGCTCGAAGCGCGTGTGTGGGGAACGTCCGTGTGGTGACATTGGCCCGTCTTGGGCGGATGCTTGAAGTATAGTTGACCAGACGAGCAATCAGTCGTGATAGTGCTACGCCCCAGGATTTCCAAGATTTTCTCTTCCACGCGGACTCCAGAAAGGAGGGCCGCTAGACACTCCAGAATTCCTGGAACGTATCCTGAGCCAACCGCATCATGGCCAAAGTTGATACGAGGGGGGGCTCCTTGGAAAACAGCTGAAATCCTGCCAAACATGCAACAGGCAGTCCAACACGCCCCGGCGTGCCGAGGGAGCGGGACACCTCAGTGAACTGTTGCGGAGTCAGGGCCATTAGGTGGTTTCCGATGTTTTGTTGGCCCGTTGTGCGGTGCACACCAGTTCCCAGCCGCCCAAGGACTTCGGCGGAGAGTGGTGGGACACGGCCAGCAGCGCCAGGGCTTCGCATACCCAGGACAATGGAGACAGAATAGTTCCAGGCATCTGGACGCTTTGCTAGGAGGTTTAAAGCGTTGCGTGTTGTGCTTGTTCCCTAACCGTCCGCAGTGTCATGATGACGGTCGTGGTGATTACGGCGGCGAGGGTCACAACGATGAGTTCGCCCATGATGGCGCTTATATAAGGCTTACCAGTCGAGAGCACGATTGGTCGGCGCAATTGGGTGTGACTGAACCTCTCGCATTTTTGTTAGGCAACGGTCGTCGTGCGCACCAGTCTGCCGATGACATGATGGTATGACCACGCTACACCTTTTACATCGCATGCTTCCGGGAATAGGTCATGCTCTATATGATAGGACGGTCGCTGTCCATCACGTGTGATCAAATAGATTTAAGCTTTGCCTGGGAGCGCGTTGCGTCTACTCCGCATAGCAACACCATCGGTGTCTTATCAATTTACAAGGGCTTGCTGTCCAGCCGCGGCGGGTAGGTTTGGTAGAGAGGATGCCACCCGATCATGTTGAATGAAACTTGGAAGTCAGTGGCGTACGATTGCAATTGTCTTATTGCCCGTTCTGCCGATCATGATAAGTGAACAGATGAGGCGCAAGAGAAGGATGGAAACGGGTGCTGTGGCGGCCTCGATGTGCGGGCGGAAGTCTAATAGACTTCGGCCCATCACGCTACTGCGCCCGAGTCTTGTTTCAGAGGCCCTGGGCGCAGTTGAGGGCCGTTGAGGGGCTTCCTGGAGGGTTTCAGGGGGCCTCCGTGGCTCACTCGGGTTTGTCTTTCGACCTCTTTGGGCCTATCATGTTCCTCTAGGGGGCGGTTAGGATCATGGTGGAGGGGGTGGCTTCCAGCGGTGCGACGGTGGCGCTTTGGGCCCCTCTTGGAGCCGTCTTTGGGACCTCTTAAGCCCCCTTTTGGGGGAGCCTCTGGAGCTGTTCTCGGTCCGCCTTGGACGCTCTTGCGACCGATGCGGCAAGCACGTTAAGATCACGCAGCATGTCAAGGGATACCCGCCACGAATATATATATATATATATATATATATATAAATATACACACATGCGTTCATACAAACACACATACATACACACATACATACATACATGCATGCATGCATGCATACATACATACATACACATACGTGCATACACAACTATATACCTACATGCATGCATTCATTCATACATACACACATACATACATACATGCATGCATGCATGCATGCATGCATACACACATACATACATACATTCATACACACATACACACATACATGTTTACACATGTGCATGCATGCATGCACACATATGTACATACATACCTGTATACATGCATACATGCAGACATGTCTGCATACACACGTACATGTATGCATGCATATGTACATGCACGAATGCACACACATACACACAAATCTATCTGTGTATATATATGTGTGTATATATATATATGTATATAAATATGTATGTACATATATATAGTTATATATATATACATGCATACACATACATACATACGCACACATATATTTACACAAGCATACACGCATACATATATACTCACATACATACCTATTTACATAAATACCTGCATATATGCATGCATGCATACATACATACGTATATGCATACATCTATACAGGTATGCAAATGTGTATGTATGTATATATATATATATATATATATCCACGTGTATGCATATATATAAATATACACACACGCACTGCGGTGGAGGATCGGGATGCAGCCCTTGTCCGCCTCCTGCCTCCGGCCCCAGGGCCTCTCAGGCGTCCCGCCGGGGCCCACGAGTGCCGCAGTTGCCTGGCGGTTGGCCCCGAGAGGGCCGCAGCGGGCCTGGGCGCCCCCTCCACCCCCAAAAAAACAAAGAAGGAAAGAAGGAACATATATATAATAAAAACAATCGAGAAACAACAATAAAGAACAAATAAGTAGGAAGCAAGAAAGAAAGAAAACAACAAAGAACACAGCAAATAAACATTTGCCCCAGGATCGCGCGAGCCACTCGAGGGAGGAGGCCTGGGCCCTGGACCTCCACCCATCCAACGGGACCCCTCCACCCCCCCCTGTGGTCCAGAAGGGATCAAAGGGAATGGGCCTGCTCCCGACTCGGCTGCGATCTGTGTCTGTTCACTTGGCGAGCTTGGAGAGCCCAGGGTGGCCGCCGGGAATGGGGGGGGTGCTTGGAACTGAGCAACGCCTCCCAGGACAACCCGGGGACGACCACCCTGAATTCCCCTTACACGCGCTGGCCGGGTCGGCGCATTTCGCACGCAGATTTTGCATTGTTTTTCCCTAGTCCAGTTATGCGGTGGAGGACGGTCTAGACTTGCCTCTGATTTGTTTGGGTGGCCTGACAGGTGCCATTGGGCAGACGGGTTGACGAATGGCGCTCATGTTTAATTGCTCCTAGTGTTGTCGAACCACTACATGTGTTCGGATACGGATGGATCACCGGGTGGACAGGCTTCGTTCGTGCAGGGACTCATCATTCCACCAGGGAAATGCGGAACTAAGGTGCGGATTGGAGTGTGACGCTGTGTCAATCCACCCATCAGCTCGCGAAGAGAAGGATGAAGAGGTTCCTGTCGAGGAAGAGGAGGAGAGGTGAGTGGCACGCAATGGGGATTGAGCTCAAATGAGGAGACAGGAAGGGCAGATGATGATGGCTGAGGTTCACTTGGATCCTCCAGGTGCCCGAACTGTCTAGCACGAGCATGTAGGCATGGGAATCGGAGAAGGGGTCAGGAACAGGCGCATGAACAGGGGTCAAGCCAGCCAGCTCGAATCAGTCGACAACGGGAGCGCAGCGTTCACCAGAGAATGGGTGCGGCCGAGGCGGGACCGATGTTTTGTTCTCTCCGGTGCAGGCCCCGCTTCGTAGGTCACTGCCAGCAAAAAGACATCAGCCGCACCAGAGCGGGAAGCTGAAGAACAATCTGCGCGGCGTTTGGGCGAGAGAGGTATTTGGTCATTCGCGCGCGGCCCCGCTTCTGACGATTTGTCGAGCGAAGGCCATGCACCGCGTTCAAACGGGAATGCAAGTGCGAAGAAGAGTATTCGCGTCGCTGATGCGAGACCGACGTGTCGCTCTATTGCGCTCGATGTGCGGTGCGTCGAACTCCCGCCACGCAGTCCACAGTGCCGGCGACATAGCGTCCATGCTGGACGGGCATATTTCGACTATGTATGGATTTGTTGCTGGGTAGAGCGGAAGGGGCCCGCTTGGGCCCCTGACAGGGCGAGAGCGGGAGAGTGAAAGTGCTTGGTCATATTGAATACGGATACACGCAACAGTGCTATTAGGAGTTGACATAGCAACGGGTGTCGCAGTATGAGTAGCAGCGTACGTTATAGTAGATGTAAGAGTAGGCGTACGAATGTGAGCGTGAGTAAGCATGGGGCCAACTAGAAGTCAAAGTCGTAGTAGCAATAGGAGTAGCAGCATGATGTGGATGTGCATGAGGACGAGGAAGCATTGATTTTCAGCTGGGCTGATGCCATGGGGGGCCGTTGAGAAGGGAGCGTCGGGATCGCCGAAGGGGGCATGTGACGTGCATGAGTGGGTCTTGGAGTAGGAACAGGAACAGTGGGAGCAGTAGAGGAGAAGGAAGTAGAGCAGTGGAGGAAGAGCAGGAAGGGTGGAGGGAGACCAGGATGGAGTCCGATTGAGCCCGATGGAGTCGCACGGGCACTCGAACGGGGTCCTTGAGTCGTGTGGAATCCAGTGGATGCCGATGGAGTCATATGAAGTTCCATGGGATCGTATGGGTGTTCGAACGCAGCCCAAGGGAAGCCTACGGAGTCCACTGGAGTCTACTGGGCCAACGGTTCCCTATGGAGCCCGAGAGAGCCCAACGGATTCCAATACCAAATGGAGGTTGTTGGATCCCCATACAGCCATACGTGTGTTCGAATGGAGTCCAACGGAGACCATTTGGGTCCAATGGAGCCCGCCGGACCAATGGAATCCGATAGCGTCCTGTGGAGCGCAATTGAGCCCAGTGGAGTCGCAAGGATTTCAAGGGAGTCATACTGTTTCTCCCCCTCAGGTGGTGTCGGTTTGTCGCCCGCAGGTGGTATTGCATTGTTCCCCGCAGAATGTATGGAATTGTCCCCTGCAGGGCCAATCGGTTTGCCCCCCTCCGGGTGTATTTGTTTGCCCACTGCAGGGTATTGCATTGTCGCACGCAGGATGTATTGTATCGTTGCGTGTCGTTATCTATAAGTTGGTTTGTTGTGGCCGCTGCATCATGCAGAAACAACTTTCTGGCGCTCTGGCGGTGCAGACCCCCGTCCGCGTGGCCGCTTGAGGGTGCACAACACTTTTCCTCGGCCGCTCTGAGGGCGCAGAAGTATCCTTGTGGCCTCCTGCGGGTATTGCAGAGCGCCTTCAACTGGCGCTCGGAGTGCGTATACCCTACTTCTTATGGCCGCTTGAGGTTGCAGAACCCGTTTTCTGCACGCCAAGGATTACAATGCAGTCTCAGGAGAATTCCAGCGGAGTCCGTGGAGCCCAATGGACTCGTATGTGTATTCAAAGGGAGCCCGATGAAGGTATATGTATGTTGTTCGGAAAAACCGAATGGAGTCCAACAGTGTCCAATAGAGTCCCATGGTGTTCAACGGAGCCCAGTGGAGTCCAATGGAGTCCCATGTGGAGTCGACTGGAGTCGTACGGCTGCTCCCGTGGAGTGAAATCGAGCCGTCCGAGTCAATTCAGACATTTCTATATGGAGTCAACGGTGGCACACCCGTTAGAAGGTTTCGCTCATCGTCGCTCACATTCCGATTCCGACCTCAGTGTGGGAATACGGAGGGGCAGTGTACCGATGCGTGTGAAGATAAATATCATGTGTTTGGGAGGGTGAGAGCGAGAGCAATGACGATGAGCGTGGTGAAACGATGAGGAGGAATGGGGAGGATAGTAAAGACGGTGTGCGACGGTGGCGGCCACTCTCTTGTGAAGCGAGGGCGGTGATGCGTGTGGTGATGACGAGGGCGCGATTCAGAATCAGGGTGAACGCGGTGAGGATCAGGGTGAGTATGATGGCGAAGTTGAGGGCGACACGGAGGGCGAGGGTGAGAACGAGGGTTCCCGTGCGGGGGGGGCCAGACGATGCAATAATCACATGTGGAATGTCGGAGCCCATCTCGCGCTGGGCCCAGAGGAACTCATGGACCACGTGATGAGCCTCTCGGGCCCCTTGAAGCCGAGGATCCGCACGAGGTCTTTGTTGAAGGAGCTTAACGAGATCAAGGCTGGGCTCCTGGAATCACAGCGGTGGAGTGTTGCTTCGCCCCCCTTCTGTCTGTCTCCCCCATCTTCCGAGGGCGTTAACATTGCAGACCTCACTCTTTTGTTTGCAAAACAAAAAAACGTTAAAGTTTTCAACGTTTGAAAGTTTGGGGCCCGAAAGGCAATCAAGGTTGAAAGCTCGAAAGATTGAAACGCATATTGTGGTAATCTTGTTACGTTTACGAACCTTCGGATTGCCTTTCAAGCATTCAGACTTTCACGTTTTTCCAATTCTCAAATTTTCAAAAATTGAGAACTGGCTCAAACTTTGGAACCCTCCTGTTCCAGAGTTTGAAAGTTTGACACCCGCCAGAGTATGGAAGTTTGGAGTTTGACGTTTGACATCGCTCCAAAGTTCGAAAGTTTGAAAGTTTGACAATCTGGCAGCTTCGAAGTTCCAGGCACGCCGGCACGCGCGTTCGTAAAAGATGTTATCTGATTTGAAGCGGGCTCCCCAATTTTCAGAAAATAGTTCTCTTCAGCTCAGGGTGGGGACAGGGAGCACTCAACCGCAGGGGACCTGCGGGAGCCCGCTTGCACGCGCTGTCGGAAGGAGGAGGAGAGAGAAGAGGTGGAGACGGAGAGGGGAGGCACTTGCAGTAAAGTCTCCGGTGCTCTTTTCGGATTGGGCGAGGAGGAGACGTAGAGGAGGGGGGCAGAGGAGGAGTAGGAGGAGGAAGAAGAAAAGGAGGAGGAGAGGCAGTGGGAGAAGGAGGATGAGGGGGAGGAGGAGGGGGAGGTACTTGCAATAGTGCTCCCTGTGATTTTTTACCGGTGCTGCAGGGGGGAGGGTGCGTATGTGCGGGGCGCGTGCTCGTCCAGAGGAAGAAGTTGGGAGTGTACTTTGAATGTGTGCGTGTGTCGGTGTGTGTGTGTGTGTGCGCGTGCTCGTGTGTGTCTGTGTGTGCCTGTGTGTAGATGGGTGCTTACGTGCGTGCGGCTGCGTTCGTCGGCCGCGGCATGTACAACGTTTTGTGCTTACGTGCGTGCGCGCGTGTTCGTCCAGAGGAGGTAGGCAGTGCACTTCGAATGCGTCTGCGTGTTGCTGTGCGCGTCTTAGTGTGTGTGTGTGCGTGTGTGTGTGTGCTGGTGTGTGAGAGTGGTTGTGTGTGTGAGCTCGTACCCCTGACTCCGACTGAACCTATTCTGGGCCTGCTGCCGGGCCTACATTGCATTCAGCTCCATCGTCGATGCGTTCCGCCACAGGTCTTGCACTCCTCCTGCTCCACGTCCTTCTCCTCCTCATCCTCCTCCTCCAAGTGGCCCATGGAGTCCAACGTCGAAGCGCTGGACTTTCGTCCGGGACCTTCCCGCTGAGTTTTCGCCCCAGTCTTGCGTCCCGGATTTTCTCGCTCGACTGGGGCTGAACTTGTTCTGGGTCCATTGACGGGCTCGAACTGGGTTCAGCTCCCTCGCTGTTGTTTTCCTTTCAGACGGGCCCATAGGCCGTTCCGCCACAGCTCTCACTTACCCTTCTCTCTTCCTCTTCCGGCGTGCGCACGGCGACGCGCACGGCGGCACGTGCCGAAGCGATGATGAGCACCACACGCATTTCGTTTCCAAGCGGATCGGTGGTAGGGTGGGCGGGTCCGCCGCGCTGACTCCGACCACCTAGCTGCGGCGGCCGATGTTCGGTCATTTGTGAACGGCACAATGTGTATAGCACGGCGCGTCCAAAAGTGTTACGGGGAGCGGCGCTCAAAAGTTCCGCTCCTGTGGGGGGGACCTCATTCAGTCGCAGGAACGCATGCACCACTGGAACTGCAGACGCCAGATGTGGTGACTTTACCCCGCCAGGACCTCCGTGCTCTTCGGAGGCCTCCAGAGGCATCAGGAGGCCTTCTGAGGTCGCTGGTCGGCTGTGGTGACGTGAACCCAGCCAGCCAGACCTCGGTAACCTCGGGGAGGCTCCCGGAGGCCTTCTGAGGTCACCGGCCGGATGTGATGACGTTCGCCCCCCAAGACCTCGGGGACCTCCCAGAGGCTCCCCGAGGCCTTCTGAGGTCACCGCCCGAATCGTGGATGCCAACTTCAAAGTAACGTTTCCCGCTCCTACATGCCATTGTGCCTTTAGGACTTCTGGGACTTCTTCATGCAGCTGTTTCGGCGCATCGGCTCCGACTTACTGCCATTTTCCCGTGGCGGCCTGGCAGCCATGGGCCGCAGGCGGGCCAGAGCGGCGTCCTCCGCCCACGCTGACGACGCTGACACTTTCGCTCTACAGCATTCTCCGGGATACGCTGACGTGACCGCTGGCCGCTGCTGGGCTGGGTGGAGCGCGGCTCTGCTCGCGCGTCTTCGCGACGACGGGCCTCGTCGTTTCCTTCACGAGTCTTTGGGCTCGCTACCCCACGAGCCTGATGCCGCTGGCGACGACCTGGCCGAGCGCTGCTTCGAAGATCCTGCAGCTACCCCCGAAGTGCCTGGTCTGCTGGCGCGCGTCGATGCAGAAGATATGCATACTTTCCTCAGCTGCAACTTGTCGTTGCGACACGGTCTGCATTGCCGTGGTGATCTGGGTATACCCGAGCAAGTTTGTGTCGGCTGCCGCAACAGTTGTTGCCGAAGGCGGCGCTGGTGGGAAGAGCCGCTGTTCTGGAGCCGCTTTTGCCCGCCGTGCCGGCGCAGCCCTGGACATCGGCCTGTCGATGGGGGGCCTGTCTCCATGTCCCATTCGTGCTCCGCCTCGTTTTGGAACTGGTCGATGAACTCATGCAACTTAGCTTTGGGCTTCTTGAGCCTTCTCTCCTTGTCCATCAGGTCATCAATGAGCTTCTGAAGCCCATTGAGCTTCTTGACTGGGTGACGTCATGAAGTTGGGGACCCCGGTTTCTACGGATATGTCCCGATCCGCCCGACCGGTCCCGATTGTGACGCAGTAGATCGACTGCCAAGTCTCTGCATCTTGGCATGGGTTTTTGTTCGATACTACACGAGCTCCTCTGGGGACTTGATCCTGATCGTATGCTCGTAGACCTCGCCTGGGAGTGATAACCGGAACGGCACGAACGGCTTCTCGAATGAGGCAGCCTCTGTCGCGCTCTCCGGGGATGCGGTCCTCACTCCTGTCCCGACGTGCCCCCCACTGGTCTCCACACTGACACATCCAGAAGGTGTTCCCCCACCCGACATGTTGGGGTTGTTAGATTTCAAGAACAGGCCTCCCTGGCTAACCCCACCCTGCATATCGCGGCCGCCAGACCCCAAGTTGTCCTGAGTATCCCGGGTGTCCCGCCTCGGACCCGGCCAACTCCACCTTGCATACCGCGGCCGCCAGACCCCAAGTCGTCCCGAGTGTCCCGAGAATACCAGGTGTCCCACCTCGCGCCCGGCCAATCCCACCCTGCATACCGCGGCCGCCAGGCCCCAAGTTGTACCGGTGATCCCGCCTCGCGCCCTCGACGAACACGACAGAAAACAACATAACATAACATAACATAACCGAGCATAACAGAACACACCTTGACATGACATTTCATGTCATGACACATCGTCACATATAATATATATATATATATATATATTAACACGACAGCAGAGCATAACGAAGACGAATTCGACAGAACACAAATGACAAAACACAGCATGACATAACAAAACACAAGCATGACATAACATGACAGAACACAACGTATACATGCCATGCCGCATAACATAACATCACATAGCATATCAGAGCAGAAGATGACTGAACAGAAGACGAGAAAACACAACGTAACATAGCATAACCCATCATAACATAACACACGTTGACAGAACGCATCATCTCATGACACACCATCACAAAAACATATGACGCGGCAGCGGAGCAAAGCGACATATACTAGCAGAGCATATCATCATATACTGTACACAACCGAGCCGTTAACAAACATAACATCACAGAACATACCAGAGCAGAACGTGCCAGAAACGAAGACGACAGAATGCACTATGAGAGAACATAACGGAGCCTAGCATAACACACCTTGGCAGAACATATCGTACCGTGGCGCCGAATCACAGAACATCTCAGAGCACGACAGCAGAGCATAGCGACGACGAACACGACAGAACACAACATGACACAACAGAACAGAACACGAGCATGACACATCATGATAGAACAGAACATAGCAATGTCGTGACGAAATAGATCACAACAGAGCATCACAGAACATACCAGAGCAGAACATGACAGAACAGAAGACGGCAGAACACAGCACGATTGAACAGAACCGAAAAGATCATAACACACGTTGACATAACACATATCATATCATGACACAGCATCACAGAACGCATCATAACACGACAGCAGAGCAGAGCGGCATAGCGTCACATACTAGCAGGTCAGATCATTATATATTCTACGCAGCGGAGCCGTCAACAAACAGAACATTGCAGAGAAGAACATGACAACATAGAAGACGACATAACAAACATAATTCCATCGATCCGAGCACAGCATACCAAACCTTGAGAATAATAGTTAGCCGAGCTGTCTACAGCATCACAGAACATAACATACTATATTGAGCCGAGTTGCCAACAGCATCACGGAAATATCATATCAGAACATTTTCTGGCATATTGTACCATGCCATAACATAGTGCCACAGAGCAGACCGTGCCATCACATCTCAAAGCATATGGTCACAGAGATGAGCATAACATAACATGCGCAATCAGAAGAGACACATACAAGTGAAGAGGAACATCATTACAGACGACGTATCTAACGTCACAGGCGTCACGACGTCACGCCAGCCCGTCGAAAGCACAACAGGGCAGACTAAAGCATCATGAAAGAACGTAACTACATGGAACACGGTTGTACCGTTTTTGAATCCAGAAACGGCAGTTGTGCAGTTGTGGAGAGTAGTACCACGACAGAACAGGACAACAAACCATACTAAAAGAGCAGATGATACTATGTTATGCTGAGCTGAGCCGTCAAAAGCATCACCGAACAGAGCATACTACAACATACCCTGGCAGAACACATCATGTCCTAACATGGTGCCGCAGAGCAGGGCATAACATAACATACCAACGCATATTGTGGCAGAAGCGAGCATGACAATGCTAACCTTTAAACGGAAGGAATAACGGAAAGGCAGAGGGATATCATGACATAGCGTACCGTACGTACATGCCTGCTCAGCTTGGCCACAGGAGCCAACAGTCACAGTAATGAGCGATTCGACGATGTATCTAACGTTGCAAGCGTCACGCCGGCCCGTCGATATCAGAACATCCAGAAACAGTATCACATATTTCATTGGGGCAAAACCCTACCACACACACACACTCACACTATAGCACAACATCACGTATGCAGTAGCCACCACTCCACAGTGTCGCCCAGGCGTCACGACGTCACGCCGGCCCGTCGATATCAGAACATCCAGAAACAGTATCACATATTTCATTGGGGCAAAACCCTACCACACACACACACACGCACTCACACTATAGCACAACATCACGTATGCAGTAGCCACCACTCCACAGTGTCGCCCAGGCGTTACGACGTCACGCCGGCCCGTCGAGAACAGAACATGACAGACTGGAGCATCACATTGTAACACGCTACTACATGGAACATTGTGGAATTGACAGGCGTCGCAACGTCACGCTGGCCCGTCGAGATCACAACATCACAGAACACTGTATCACATACGACATCGCGGCAGGATCCAACCAAACACACTAAATCACAACATCGCCTATACAGTAGCCACCACTCCACGGCGTCGCCCAGGCGGCACGCTGGCCCGTGGAGGATATAAACGGAAGCAACAGAACATATCATGATATCCCACTACCACATGGAACATCGTCGAACATCTTGAGCACAACAACGGCATTAGTGGAGAGGAGCATCACGACAGGACAGGACATAGCAAAACACATTGTCAGATCAGATCAGGCCATTGTATATTGTGCTGAGCCGTCACCAGAATCACGGAACAGAGCATACTACAATGTATCTTGACAGAGCAGATCATGCCCCGATAAGGTGCCACAGAGCAGAGCGATCCGTCGACATATCAAACGTGACAGGCGTCACGACGTCACCCCGGCCCGTCGAGATCGAAACATGACAGAACGCAGTTGCACAGATTGCATTGCGGCTGGTCCCAATCAAACAAGCTATAGCACAATATCACGTATACCGTAGCCACCACTCCACAGCCTCGCCCAGGCGTCACGACGTGCCGCCGGCCCGTCGAGGTCAGAATTTGACAGAGCACAGCGTCACATACTACAATGGGATAGAATCCAAAGAAACACGCTAGTCACTACAGCACAGCATGCACAACATCACGTATACAGTAGCCACCGCTGCACGGTGCCTCCCCGTCGTCAGGCTCACCACAGAGGAGACAAACAGGCGCAGCAATGACCGATTCGATGACGCGTCGAACGCGACATGCGTCCCGAAGTCACGCCGTCTCTGCTCTCCGCCCCGCCTCCTCATCCTTGTCCTTGCCTCCTCCTTCCCCTCCTTTTTCTCCACCTGACAAATTGGGGTTGTTCGACTTCAAGAACAGGCCCCCCAGCCAACCCCACCCTGCATACCGTGGCCGCCAGACCCCAAATTGTCCCGATGGTCATGGGTATCCCGCCTCGCGCTAGGGCAACCACCCTGCATACCGCGGCCGCCAGACCCAACGTTGTACCGATGATCCCCGAGAGTCCCGCCCCTCCTCGCGCCCGGCTATCCCACCCTGCATACCGCGGCCGCCAGACCCCAAGTTGTCCCAATGTTCCCCGAGAGTCCCGGGTGTCCCGCCTCGCGCCTGGCCAACCCCACCCTGCATACCGCGGCCGCCAGGCCCCAAGTTGTCCCGACGGTCCCGGGTGTCCCGCCTCGCGCCCGGCCAACCCCGCTTTGCATACCGCGGCCGCCAGACCCCAAGTTGACCCGATGATCCCCGAGAGTTCCAGGTGTCCCGCCTCGCGCCCTCGACGAACACGACAGAACACAACATGACAGAACATAACATGACATAAAGGAATATAACATGACATAACATGGCAAAACAGAGCATATCAATATCATGACTAAGTAGAGCATGACATAACATCACATAACATACCATACCATAGCATAACGTAGCAGAAGACGACATGTCACAACATAACATAACATTGCCGAGCATAGTATAACACACCTTGGCACAACAGATCATGCCATGAAACATGATCACATAACATAGAACCTGGCATAACAGAACACGAACATGACAGACCATGGCAGAACATAACATAGCAATGTCTTGACACAAAAGACCATAATATAACTGCACATAACATACCAGAGCAGAGCATGACAGCACCTAAGACGACATAACTCAACATAACATAACATAACCGAGCATAACATAACACACCTTCACAGAACATATCAGCTCATGACACAGCATCGCAAACCATATCATAACACGATAGCATAGCATAGCCACGTCAAACACGACAGAGCACAACATGACACAACATGAGCATGACAGTACAGGACTGAACAGAACAGAGCAATGTAATGACAACAGAGGGCATGACATAACATCACAGAACATGCCAGAGCAGAACATGACAGAACGGAAGACGACATGACGCATCATAACATAACATAACCGAGCATAACATAACACACCTTGACATAGCATATCGTATCATGATGCAGCACCATTGAACATAATCGCACGACAGCATGGCATAGCGACGAGCACTAGCAGAGCACATGAGCACATCATAAGTTTCTAAACAGAGCCGGGCCGTCAACAAACATACCATCACATAACATACCAGATCATAGCAGGACATAACATAAACACAACTCAGCTTAACATAATGCATGGTTGCATAACATATCAGGTCATACCATGACAACATCACATGTTATATCATATCAGGACTGCAACGCACAGCGACACGTTTTAGTATAGTGTATCACGATATACTATAGTGAGCCAAGCTGGCAACAGCATCACGAAACAAATCATTGTATACCATCTCGACAGAACATCGCATGCCAAAACATCGTGTCACAGAGCAGACCATATCATATCCTCCCAAAGTATTTGGTGACAGAGGTGAGCATACGATATCATCTTCAATCAGAAGAGAAACATGAGTGAAGAGGAACATCAGAACAGACGACGCATCTAACGTCACAGGCGTCACGACGTCACGCAGGCCCGTCGAGAACAGAACAGGACATAGAGCACAACATTAAAGAACGTGACTGCATGGAACACGGTTGAACCGTTTTTGGAATCCAGAAACGGCAGTTGTCGACAAATTAGGCGGCCGCGCGACATCGGAAACAAACGCTTAAGGTTTTCGTAGGGATCGGTCGAAGCAAAATAATTGTTGTTGTGCCGGCCGCATTGTCTACATCTTTAGGTGATTTTGTATACAACGATCGGAACTTCAACGCGTCCTGAGCAGCCTCTGAGCTCACACAACTCGGAGAAGCAATATGCCCTGTCCTCGGCGTGTTCCTTGGAGCCTATGCCAGGCGAGCTCCTGGGAGGCTTGTGCAGCCGTGTCCATCGCGCGCGCCTTCGCCATCGCTGGACAGACAGGGAGATCACCTGTAGGGGGCGCGACGCCCAAGCCCGTCCTCGCGCCAAATTGGTTCGGGAGGGCATGGCTTCCTCCTCCTCCTCCATTTCCTTCTCCCTGTCGTGCTGTTCTGCACAGTTTGCGTCAGTCGCTGCACAGTTTTGTTGGAGTTGAACGCAGACGATTTCGGAGGCAATCGCACCGTAACGCCAGTTGGCGTGCGGGTCCGGAAATTTGTATGTGGCTCCCTCTCAGAGTACAGCTATCTTAACGCAGGCAAGCGTTTAGCAGTAGCAGAGGATAGCAGAAACTCCATGAGCTGGTCTTGGTCTCGGTCTCGTTCTGCTCTCTCTCTCTCTCTCTCTCTCTATATATATGTATCTTTCTCTGCTGTTTCTGCTTCTCCTCTTCCTCCACCTCCTCCTCCTCCTCCTCCTCCTCCTCCTCCTCCCCCTCCTCCCCTCCTCCCCTCCTCCTCCTCCTTCTCCTCCTCCTCCTCTTCCTCCTCTTCCTCGTCCTCCGTATCTGTGACCGCTAGCCGAGCAGGGCGGCAGCCCTCGCGCCTCTCCCCCCACCCTCTACCCAGGGAGGCTGCGGAGGCGGAGGCAGCGGGCCGGGGCGGGCGAGCGGGGCCGCGCAGACTGCCCAGCGCCGAGAGGTGGTCGAGAGCGGGGCCGTGCGGAGGGTGCCCGCCGAGCGCCGCCCCACCAACGAGTCCGTCGCCCAGGCCGGTTCGGCGGACGGCCCGGACGGCTTGGCCTCTGCGCAGCTGAACGAGCAGGACATCGGAGGAGGACAAGGTACCCATACCGCTACCCTTCCTTCTTTCGATTTCGCCTTTCTGGGCCTCCTTGGAGGCCCTCGTCTCCACCGCTGGATTCGCCCCGAAGTCCCAGTCTGAACGCACCCCGGGGGAGGTCCGGGGAGCAGCGGTATCTGTACCCTGTGGTCTCCCCAGGACAAGCTGTACGCCCACACCTTCGCAGTGTCCAAGTGCGAGTTCCTGTCCATGACCCTGCTGGAGCCGGAGGTGATCGGACGGGGCCAGGACGAGGATAAATCCGTTCCAGAGTGTTCCGGAATGCTTTCAGAGAGTTCCAGAACGCTCTGAGAAGGCCGCGACGCCCGATACATTTTCCAGAGCCGCCTAATCCTCACCCGAATGTGTCCTCGTCCTAGCGTCGTCTTAGGTGATGCACGACGTGTGGATGTTCTGGGGCGTCTTCCGGAGGCTATTCGAGTGCTACTGCGACGTGAAGACCGGCGTGCTCCGGAGGAGCCGGGGGGCGAAGGCCAACGGGCACATGACGCGCAGCGCCTTCGTCCTCTTCTGCGTGGACTTCGGCCTGTTTCCTCACAGCCAGGGAGCTCGAACACGTGCGCTCCCCGCCGCTCGCTTCACCTAGGCCCTTTTAATGAAAAGAGTGATATTGCCCCGCTTCCTTCCTCCCCCCCCCGTCCCAGGGTCCCAGACGGTGGGGAGGGCACGCATTCCGAGGGCTCCCCAGCATAGTGGATTACAATACGCTGCAGAGTATCTACCAGTGCGCCCAGAGCACGGTGCCGCTCACTCCCGACGAAGTGGCGCGCTTTCTGGCCTCCGACGTAGAGTGTGCGTTCAAGGTCGGGGATATCGTGGAGGTCCGCTCCACCACCAAAGTTCTGCAGAAAGGCCTGGAGGTGCCGATCTCGAAGGCGTGCCCAGGAGAGCTCTACGGCCGGATAATCGACGTGGACAACCACAGCGAGCCGCCGTCTTGCAACGTGATGTTCTCGCAGCGGAGGAAGCTGTGGATCAACATGGCGGACATGCGCCAGAGCAAGACTGATCTGGCCGATCATCCACAATTGGCTGCGAACGGCTGTTATGTCAATGCCAGCTTGTCTTGGCTAAACCAGGATTTTTCAGACATGACCGACGAGCAGCTTGAAAGCGTGACCATCCTTTCGAGCATTGAGGAGTGGATGTCGTCCAACCGGATGCGCTCCAAGGACGTATTCCGCCGGCTGGATACGGGGCTCAACGGGAGCATCGACGTGGATGAGATGATGGAGGGTATCAGCAGGATGTTTTTCGAAGTCCCCCCTACGCGGGAGCAGGTAGCGAATGCGCTGCGGCTGGTCGACAGCGACGGCAACGGCGTCGTGGAGTACGTTGAGTTCGATGCGGTCCTGGTCATCGTGCGCGAACGCAAGGTGCAGCAGCGTCAGGGTTCGAACTTTTACATGAAGAAAAAAGCCGACATGTCCCCCGCAGAGCTGGCTGCGGAGCACTTCTTCGTGCCGATGACGCGTGCGATGGACACGCTCGGTTGGAACCCCGCTGCATTCTTCAAACAGTTTGACAAGGATGGTAGTGGCCAGCTGGGGGTGGACGAGCTCTTTCAGGCCGCCCAGACCCTCGGAATCACCCTGCCAGAGCGGAACGTCTTCAAGAAAGGTGGGCACTGATGAATGTACTCGTCACGACCTGCGCCTCTTCCCTCCCTCTCGCCACCTCCCCGACTGCCCAGAGGGAGGGGGACGAAGGGCGGGGAGAACTGGACGCGGGGGTAATGTCGGATGGTGCGAGGTATACCTACACTGGCCTTGGCCAGACCGTTCCTGGGGCCGAGATCGGTGTATTTGCCTCCATTCCCAGGCCAGGATCAGCGGCGAGCGAGGGAGGGAAGTGAGAAGGGGCGGGCCTTATCAGAAGGCTCCGAAGTCCCCGGGCCTTCTGAGAAATTTTCTGAGCCTTCCCCGAGGACAGAAAAAAACTTCTCAGAAGGCGCGAGGGCTTCTGAGAAGTCCCGCCGCCTCCTGAGAAGGCCTTCCCCTTCTCATTTCCCCCCCTCGCTAGCCGCCGGCAGGAGCGCCTATTCACCGATCCTGAGCGCAGGATCGGCGTGACCAGGATCGATCTCGGTGTATACTCGGCTTCTCTCTGCAACGAAAGCTTCCCCGACAGGGCTCATGCTGGTCGACCCGAACTTCGACGGCACCATCGGGCTCAAGGAGCTCAAGCGCACTCTCGTCCTGGTGCGCCAGGCGGCACGAGGAACCCGTGCGCGACGATTGGCCCCTCCCTCCCAGGCCTCCCCGCCAGAGTATGTCCAGATCCACCGCTCTTGGAGTGGTGCCCCTGGGGGTCTGGGGGAACGGCGGGTGTGGATAACTGCCGGCCCGCGTGAGTGGGGAGATGTCCTCGTCTACCGCTCCCCGAGATCCTGGCCATGACCCCGCGGCAGCTGATGTGGACGTATCTTGGCGGCTCACAGCGGGGAGGACACCAGGCGACCGCCCCCCAGGGTTAAGTGGGGCACGTCCCCCTACAGGAGGAATGCTCAAAAGCAGTAAAAAATAGTCTGGGAACGATGTGTTTGATCATTTTTGTGTATGTGTTGACTTTCGCGCATCGCTCGTCGCGGCCTGGGCTGCAGAGAGGCGCCCTTCCCTGGAGCGGCGGCGCGGGGACGATTCTCAAATAGTAAAAAAATAGTAAAACAATAAAATAGAAAATAGTCTGGGGACGATTTTCCCAGATAGTAAATAGTAATTAGGAGGAGGAATATTCCCCAATTGTAAAAAAATAAGCTGGGGACGATGTTTTACAATGTTTGACAATGTTGTTCAAGATGCTGTTTTTCATTTTTCGTCAAAAATCCGCCTGTAGGAGGGAGGACATGCCCGACCTAACAGGCCACCAGGGAGCAGGAGAGTGGGGTGGGGACTGCATGTCTGGACTGCGTGGGGCAGGCAAGGGGGGGGGGCCCTCGGGGCAGGTCCGAACTCGCTGCGAGCGCCAACCACCCCAGAGCGCCTACGGGCCGGCACAACGGGGTGGCAGGTGGCACCCCGAAGGGGCACCCCAGAGGACTGCCCCCTGGGGGCGGGGGAGGGGGGGCCACTCGCCACATGTGTTGGTCGGCCCCGCCAGGCGCTTCGCAAGCAGGCCAAGGAGACAGTCGAGAGCGAGAACCCTTTCGTGTCCAACCGGACCCTGGGGGCCCCGGAGCGCGAGGAGCCGGTGGTGCCAAGAGGGGGGGAGGAGGCAAGGGGGGAGGGAGGACGAGGAGGAGGGGCAGGAGAACAACAGGAGGAGGCGGAGGAGGAAGAGGACGAGGAGGAGGAGGAGCACGACGAGGAGGACGAGGAAGACGAGGAGCAGGACCATAGTGGGCCTGGGACGCGAGCAGCCCTGGGGTGTTGAGGGCAGGGGAGGCGGGCCGTCTTCCTCCGTCCTGCCTCCCCCCCCCATCCTTCTCCTTCGCCTCCTCATCCCGCGTGTGCTCCCTTCTTGTTCGTCCGCCCTTGCCGTCGACCTGCTGCGCAGCACGCAGCAGGAGATGCGGACCAAGGGTATGCGGGTGCAGGGGCAAGCGAGCATGCTGATGCGTGCAAAGGCGACGGCCATGGCGCGCCTAAGCATCCAGGTGCGCGGGTTCCATCGAAGAGGCGTAGCATTCCTGGGGTAGTGGCGTTCCTGCTTTCCCCCCCCTCCCTCCTCCCCCTTAAGCGTGATGGATGCGACGCAAAAGAGTCATCCATTCTTGCAGCGGCCACGCCCCGCAACGTCAGCCGTTCTCTCTGCCCTCCGTCTTCTCTTCCCAGGAACAACCCGCCGCTAGGAGGGACTGGGAGATGCCCAAGGTGCCCCTGGTCCACAGTGTACCCAGCTCTTCGCGCCGTTTTATGGCCCCTCGGGCCTCCTTGGACCTGTGATGGGTGCTCTGGATGCCGTCGGAGCTTCCCACGAAATCCAGGGGACACCTTGGGCCAGGGACGCATCCAGGAATACCAGAAGAGAGGGCACGCTCCTTGGAACCCTCGCGCGCGGGGTGGAACATTACGGAGTTCCTTCGCCGTTGTCTTGATGGCCATGCAGATCTATTTGTTGTGTGTTGCCCCGACCTTGGGAGTCAGGACTGGCTGGTTGATGGCCGTCCAAGTTGGAACCTGGAGGCCAAACACGCTACAGCAAGATAGCAATAATGATTATCCCGCCGACCATCACCTGACACCGCCCCTCGCGCGCTCCCGGCGCGAGCCACGCTTGCTCCTTCCCCTCGTCCTCGTCCCTCCTCCTCCTCACTACTCCTCCCCCCCCCTCGCCACGGCCTTCCCCTCCTGGGAGGGCCGCTGCTGGGGCGCACCTGGTCGGTGGGACCCTCGGGTTTCTCGTCGCAGCTCCCGCCACGCCCGTCGGGGAGAGTCGCTTCCTTTTGCCGCCGAGGCGGCGAGGCGGATTCCGTGGATGCGCCTTCGGCCCTCCCCCTCTCTGGTGCTTGGTTCTTCCCGGCTGCGAGGCTCCTTCGGTGCAGTCTCCTGAGCCGGGCACCGCCTCTCGAGGCGTTGGGCGCCGCCGCGCGGCGCCAAGACCGTTCAGCGCGCGCGTCGCAAAGAAAACGTGCGAACTAGGGCCAGATGACCCGTTGTAGCACCGCTCCGAGGGCCACCGGCGGTGCGGTGGGGGGGTATGACAAGTAGACGGGAACGACAGACAGATGTCGAGGAAGGGACCGGAAACTGAGGAAAGACTCCCTCCCCCTCCTCCCCCTCCTCATCTTCCATCCCCCACGGTCCCCGCGGCCCCTCCCCCTCCACCTCTTCCATCCTGCAGGGGGGCCTCCCCTGCTGAGCGCGAGGGGCACGCGCACGCACCTTCCGCAGAGGCCCGACCGTCTTGCCCACAGCAGGGGCCCGCCCCCGATGCGCTCACCCGCTTCCTCTCTCCCATCCCGAACGCCCACCGCCCCCGGACGCCGCCCCCAGCGCGCGGGGTGCAGCGCCGCAGAGGTCCCCTCCGCCCGCGGCCGGGCCGCACGCGGCCCCGCCGCACGCGGCGCCCGCTGAGGTGCCGCGGCGGGGCGCGCCCGGCCGCTCCAGGGGCCTCGGGCCGGAGAGCCGGCCGTTCGCACCAGGAGAGCAGAGCACTGACAGCGCGAGCCCCAAATCTGCAAGTGGCCGGGGAGCCCCCGCGCCATGCCCGCGAGCGTTGCTCCACCCCGGCGGGTTGGGCAGGGGACGCGCTAAGTGCACACAGGGCAATACCCCTCGCCGCCGCATAGGCGCCGCAAGGCCGACAGCGAGAGCCCGATGTAGGCGGACCAGACGGGAGACTCGGCGGCCACAATGGGTGTGGTGGCGCCGGGGCGCTTAGCTGCCTCGATACGCCCGTCTTGAATCGCGACACGTGCCGCGAGCAAGACGTCCACGTGACGACGCCGCGCGTTAGCTCGACGCGTTGGCGCACGTTTAAGCGAGCGCATCGCGCCAGAGCCATGTTTTTCCCCAGACTGGTTTCTTACTTGGTCAAAGGTTTGCGCCTCCTATTGTTATTTTGCCCGTTGCTCGGAGGTCCATCGGGTTCCTCGGGTCCACGCCCCTGGTGCCTCCGAATTATTGTTACGTTGCCCGTTTCGTTCCTCGGGTTCCCTGGGTTAATTACTCGGGTTCCCTGTCCCCCGCGCCTCTTATTGTTACGTTGCCCGTTCCTCGGAGGGTCCTCGGGTTCCCGGGGTTCCCCGCCCCCTGCGCCTCCTATTATTACGATGCCCGTTCCTTGGATGTTTCTCGGGTTCCCCAGGTTCCTCGGGTTCAACGGGCTCCTCGGGTTCATCGCCCACTTTTGCCCAAGCACTGGCAAGCAACGCCAAGCAATGCCAAACCATGTAAAGCAATGCCAAGCGACGCCAACACATGCCAACCCATGCAAAGCAATGCCAACCAATTCCAACCAATACAGATAGTGCCAATGTCAGCCAGCGTTGACCCCAAATAGATTAGACGACTCAAATCCAGGAATCAGAGGAATCGAGCACGCTTGGAATCCGCAACTCAGCAAGCACGCAAGCAAGCGTGCAAGCAAGCGCGCAATCAAGCAAGCAAGCAAGCAAGCAATCAAGCAAGCAAGCAAGCAAGCAGACATACATAAAGAGGGGGTCATTGGAAAAGGGGGGTGGGCATGGGCATAGGCATAGCCGTAGGAAGTAGGGAGGGCATAGGAATCAGGGGGGCAACGGACCAATTAGTAGGATTTGAGCTAGGATTCCCATAGGGTAAGCCTATTTGGAGAACAATGCCAAGCAGTACCAACCCATGCAAAGCAATGCCAAGCAACTGCAAGCAATGCCAAGAGATGCACCCAGCAATGCGCCCATGCAAAAGGCTTTCCCCTAATTGTGGTCGGGTTGGGTTCATCTGTCTACGCATTGAGCTCCGTGTCAGCACGCAGCGGGTTGCGTGTTGCGTATCGGGGCATTAAGTTGGGGTGCGGTTTGCGATCGGCGACGGTGGGGCCTGGGGGGCACGACACTGTTCGTGTCGAGGTCTCCCCCCCCGCCCCCCAGTGTGTCCTCCAGGGTGCTGGTCGCAAACACACCATTAGCAAACCACGCCCTTCGGGGTCGCCGTGATCGGAACTGGATTAAAAAAAAACGCTGACTCGCAAATCGAGGAACAACTAGTTGCATAAGTATGAACGTTTGGAGGTCCGCGCGGTTTTCTCGGATCGGCACTGGATCCCCTTGGCGCGCTCCGCGCGCCAGGGGGAACATTCTGGCGCAGATCCGAGAGATCCGTGCAGACCGTCGTCCTCCTCCTCCTCCAGGAGGAGGAGGAGGAGGACGAGGAGGAGGAGGAGGACGAGGAGGAGGAGGAGATCTGGGAGCCAAAACTATGCCAGTGCACTTTTTCGGGGGGGCTCCGCATCCAGCAAAGGGCGCAGCAGAGCCAGCCCCGCGTGCCGCCCCCCCCCCCCCCGCTTGGATCCCGCCCCCGTCCCTCCTTTTCCTCCTCCTCCTCCTCCTCCTCCTCCCCTCCTCCTCCTCCTCCCCTCCTCCCCCCCTCCTCCCCTCCTCCTCCTCCTCCTCCTCCTCCTCCTCCTCCTCCTCCTCCTCCTCCTCCTCCTCCTCCTCCCCTCCTCCCTCCTCCTCCTCCTCCCTCCCTGGCGCGCCGCAGCAATCCGGGGCCCGCCGCAGAGAACACTCGCCGACACCCTCCGATGGCCTGCTCGTGGGCCTCGGGGGGAGGGCTGGGACGTATCAGTCCCCGCTGAGAGCCAGCGGCTTTCTACACCGCTGCCCTCCCCGAAGGCACGTCAAGGTTCGTGGCGAAGGATGGGGCACCTTTCCCGAAGCCCGAACCTGATCATCCCCCCCCCTGTGTTTATCGGGGTCCTCCGTTCTTTGTTCGGGCAGCACGTGCAAAGGAGTGGCGCGATTGGCGGGGCGTTCTAAGAATCTTGAGCGGCCCCCCAGAGGGCAGGAAGCCTCGTAGAACCCACCCAACTACTCAGTCCCTTAGAAATCATCCCGGCGTCTGAGAGGCCTTCTTGGGAGTTGTCGGCCTTTCCTAGAAGATCCCCGCCTTATAAGAAACACGCTTCCTTCTTAGAAGGCCACCCTGTCGCGCCAACGCGCTGTGGGCGCCGCCAGCTTTTGATGCGGCCATAGGAGGAGAAGGGCAAAACAACCACCATATTCGGGCTGAAGGCGTTCGTCGAGTGCCTGCTCAAGATCGGCGTCGGGTACCTGAGCTTCCACGGGTCGGCGGAGCAGTCCCAGCTGCCGACCCACTCCAAGGTAATCTGGCTGCTCGGCTACCTCGGCTCCAAGCTCGAGAGCCACAAAACCGGGACCGCTGCCCCGCGGAGCAGGTGACTGTTGTTTTTTGTTTGTCCAACGGGCTTGCGCCATTCTGCCGACCCCTCGAAGAGTAGAGAAGTCAGCGGAAGTCGCCACGTTACTGTCTTCGACGTCGATCCGAGGGCCTTGGTCCTTCGGCCCGGGAATATCCTTCGGGCCGGCAGGGGCATGGTGAAGGTCCTTTGGGTCTTCCTCGGGGCCGGTTTCGGAGCATCGTGTGCCCTACTGCGGCCATCTCGGAGGACACCGATCTAAAAATGGGGTGTGCTTCATTTGCCTGCCCCCTTCCGAAGACCGAGAAATCGGTCCTTGGGCCCGTCCTGGGGTTGTTTTTGTGGCGCTCTTGGATTCTGTTTGGACCGTCTTGAAGCGTTTCTGGGCGCATCGTGGCGTTCTCTTAGGCGATATTGAACACGCTTTGAGGTCTCAGAAGCCCATCGGAACTGAAAGAGCGAGAAATCTCGGGCATCTTGGAGGCGTGTGAGGTTGGATGTGGAGGCTCTGAGGGCGTGGAAGGTGCGTTGGCGAGCTCGTCCCCTCCCCTCTCCCCTTAAAATTGAGACTTCGGACCCCCGAGGAGGGGGACAACCAGACACTTCACACGCCTTGCCACCCTCGGAAGTCAGAGGTCGGCGGAGTCTCCCTGGCGTGACGCGCGTTACCCCTTCCTGCGGTGCTGCTGCGCCGCAGCCGCCGTCACCGTCACTCCCCGCCGCCCCAGCCCCTCCAGGGTTCCGAGGCCTCCCACGGTGGGTCGGAGTAGATCGGGGTCGGAGCGACGTGTCGCATCGCCGAAGCATCGGCGATGCGGCGCGATCTGGGTCCCATTCTCCTCCATCGCAGCATCGCAGGCGCACCGCCGAAGATGACGCAAGCACGCGTTGTTGGGGGTCCGCGCGGACTCCTTGGATCGGACCGGCGCCAGCCCCTCTCGTGGCGCCTCACTTGCCGCCTTTGGCGCTCTCCGCGCGCCTCGGGAGGGCGTCGATCCAAGACATCCGTGCGGACCTCAAAAAGTTGGCGTTTTTGTGTGCGGTTTCGTGATTCCTCTCGTTGCAGCTGGCACGAGGGGTTAAGAGCAGCCCTGGCTCGGGACTCATGTGTTGCTAGGCCTCCCAGATGGAGTCCGAGAAGATGGGGTCGGAGGATCGCGCCGCATCGCCGATGCATCGGCGATGCATCGGCGGTGCGGCTCACTGTGGGGCCCAATGTTCTCCACGTCGACGTCGCCGATGCATCGCCGATGTATCGGCTATGCGGCGAGATCCACCGACCCCATCTATTCGGACCCCATCTATCAGGCGATCGCAAATATGGATCAAGGGGGCGTGGATTAGCGACGGGTCCCGTTTCCATGGGAAATCGCGGATTTCCGCCGCCGAACGAGGCGGTACCGGCCGCATTTTGGGGAGGGCACCTCCCCCGATCCATGGATTTGGCGACCGCGCGCCAAATCCATGCATCGATAGTCCATGTTTGCGAGCCCCCGAATCTGGGAGGTCTCTGGTGTTCTTCGCGTTTGGCTCCTCCACCCTGGAATGTTGTTCGTTTGGGACATCTCCATGGGGCCTTGGGCCTTCGGCGAGGGTGCTCGTGCTCTTGAGCTGCTCTCTTGTGGCCATGTGTCGACTTCTAACTTGCAGTTGGGCATGTCCCTCTATAGGAGGAAAATTCAAGAATTATCAAAAACGGTTTGTCTTGTTCTTAGATTAGTTGAACCTAGTTTGACTACTTCTTGTTTAACTTCCAAAATCAGCCTGGAGGAGGACATGCCCGACCTGATTCTGACTCCCTGGAACAAGAGGCACGCGTCCCTCGGCTCTTGCACGAGGGAGCCGCGGCCCAGGTGGGGGGAGGCCAGGGAGGCCAGGAACAAACTACGAATGCACGAGCCACGAGCTAAAACGACAGGCTCCGCGGCCCAGAGGGCGGAGGGGGGGCAGGGGGGCAATGGGACGAGCCACGAGCGAATAAAAGCGTTCCGAGCTTTAGAATACTGTTGCGCAAGAGAATAGCACAGCTGTGCTTTCGCCAGCCCTGCCAGAGCAGCCGACGGAGTATATCTCGGCCCCCTCTTGCGTGTCCGGCTGTGCTTGTACAGCTCGTGTCTCGTGCCAGCCGCTAGTCGGCCGCATTCGGCATCTCGCTTCTCGGTCCTCCCTCATCTCTCTCTCTCTCTCTCACTCTCTCTTTTTCTCTATCTCTCTCTTTCTCTCTCTCTCTCTCTCTTGCTATGGATTATCTCTTCTTCCCGTCCTCCTCTTCCTCGTTGGGTGTAGCCCCGCTCCCACCAGTTGGGAAGCTGGCAGATTCCGCCATCGGGCCTGAATGCAAACAAATCAGCAGCAGCAACAAGCAAAACGGCTTCGAGATGGGCCCAGACCAATCCACATTCGGTCAAGAAGCAGGACTCGCTGTTCGAGAGGACTGCCAGCGGCCGACCACCCCTGGGCCCCAAGGACCCGGCCTCCTACGAGCTGGCACGACGCCCCATGGGCATCAACAGCGACAGGCGAGTCCAGGACGAGGAGGGGGAAGAAGAGGAGGGAGGAGGGAGGAGGAGGAGGAGGAGGAGGAGGAAGATGAGGAGTTGGAGGGGAAGGAAGAGGAAGAGGAGGAGCGCGGATGATGATGATGATGATGATGATGATGATGATGATGATGATGATGATGATGATGATGATGATGATGATGATGATGATGATGATGATGATGATGATGATGATGATGATGATGATGATGATGATGATGATGATGATGATGATGATGATGATGATGATGATGATGATGATGGTGATGGTGATGATGATGATGATGATGATGATGATGATGATGATGGTGGTGATGATGATGATGCTGATGCTGATGCTGATGCTGATGCTGATGCTGCTGATGCTGATGCTGATGCTGATGCTGATGCTGATGCTGATGCTGATGCTGATGCTGATGATGCTGATGCTGCTGATGCTGATGCTGCTGATGCTGATGCTGCTGCTGCTGATGATGATGATGATGATGATGATGATGATGATGATGGTGATGGTGATGGTGATGGTGACGATGATGATGATGAGGAGGAGCAGGAGGAAGAGGAGCGAGAAACGAGGAGTATTGAGGTGGGCCAGAACAATAATGATGATGCTGCTGATGATGATGATGATGGGGGTGATGATGATGATGATGATGATGATGATGATGATGATGATGAGGATGAGGATGAGGATGAGGATGAGGATGAGGATGAGGATGAGATGATGAGGATGATGAGGATGATGAGGATGAGGATGAGGATGAGGATGAGGATGAGGATGAGGATGATGAGGATGATTAGGATGAGGAGAAGGAGGAGGAGGAGGAGGAGGAGGAGGAGGAGGAGGAGGAAAAAGAGGAGCATGAGCGAGGAGGACGAGGATGACGAGGAGAAGGAGCCATGAAGGATGAGGGGGAACGAGGAGGAAAATGAGGAGGAGGGGGAGGAGGAGCGGCGAGGAGGAGGAGGAGGAGGAGGATCAGCACGGGGTCACAAGGCCTCTGGGATGGTGTACGGACTCTCCTGGCCTGGCGTATGCACCATGCCAGGGCCCAGGAAGGTCTGGACCAGTCATAGTGGTGTATACGTAGGTACAGAAGGATATCTGGCAGACGAGGCGTTTCACCTGTCCCTCAGGTGGTGCAAGGTCCAGCGCAGGAACTACCGCAGCCTGAGCATTATAATGAATGAGGCGGGCCCCAGGCTGCAGGCCGCGATGAAGGATGCAGTCAGGAGGAACGAGAACTTGAACCGTCCGAGGCTTATAATCTGCATGCCGCGTGATCGGCCGGTGGCTGGGTCACCTGGCTGATCTTGTCGATCACGCCGATCGGCCTCCGAGTTGCGCGGTGTTGTCGTCGTCCGCCTGAGGCGCCCACGACCGAGTTGCAGTTTGTATTTGCCCTCCTCCAGCAGCGCTGATGTTGCAGGTGGGGAGAGCAAGAGATGTCAAGACCGTGCGTGCAGCTACCGAGCCTGCTACACGCTTCCTGAAGAGGCACTTGTCTGTGCGCCCTGCCCTGCCCCACCCCATCACTGGAGCCCAGAGGCATGGCCGGGCGGGGGAGCACATGCGGGCCGAGCACACTGCTGCCAGGAGGGCGTTGCCTTCTTTCGAAGCCCACTGGGATGCAGGTCGGAGACGCGTGCAGGCTCCCGCAGCTCGCACGACTCGGCGACGGCTGCCCACAGTTCGTCCGCAACTTCCCTCCGACCTGATCCCCGCCCACCCACCCCTCGTGAAGAGAAGGTGCGGAGATCTTCGACCTCTTCCCGCTTTGGCGTGGTGCTCCTCCGTTCCGCGTTGCGGCGCAGCCTTGCCGCAGCGGTCTACTGCGATCGTCGGTGGGGCGATCGTCGATCGGGAAAAATCGTATCAATGACACGCCGCCGCTGGGAGCCAGTCAGCGTGTTACTCCTTCGATGTTGTCCGAAGTCATGGTGCTTCTTCAAGACAAACACGCTGATTGGTTCCCTCACGGCGGCGTGTCATTGATATTGTTCCCCGCCATCCTGTGGTGTTGGGTCCTCGTTTTGAACGAACAGCGCCCAGCGTCCTCTACAATTTACACCATATGAAATACTACTCTCCTCTCTCCTCTGGCGACGGCCGGGAAATGTCCGGCCCCCCTCCGCGTATTGGTTCTTTACACAGGATTTCCCGGAAGCGGGTTTTCGCTAAGTATTGTGTTCACAATGCTGCTCTCGCAGAAGCGCTGGCCTCATTTTCGGACTACCGCTCGTTCTGAATCGTGCTCCCGCTGCAGCGCTGGCGTCATTATTTCCAACGCCATGCCACGGCATGGTTTTCGGTCGTTCCGAAAAGGCCCAAAATCTACAACAACAAAAAAAAACGAAACAACCATCGGAAGCGATTACACATTCGGAGTCGATTCGTTAGTTTTTTGGGTCGCAGAAGCCCCCCCACTTAGGGCGTCGCCACGCCATGCTATGTCAGGCTACGCGTTCTCCGAATCGTGCGCCCGCTGCAGCGTTTGCCTCATTTCCGCGCTTCCGCTCGTTCCGAATCGTGCTCCCGCTGCAGCGCTGGCGTCATTATTTCCAGCGCCATGCCAAGGCATGGTTTTCGGTCCTTCCAAATAGGCCCAAAAATCTAGAAACTGGCCCCTCGAAACAACCATCAGAAGTGATTACACATTCGGAGTCGATTCGTTAGTTTTTTGGGTCGCAGAAGCCCCCACCCACTTAGGGGCGTCGCCACGCCATGCTATGTCAGACTACGCGTTGATGTTCAACACCATGCTATGCCATGAAATGATATGCCCTGCTACGACATCCGACTGTGCGAATAAAGAGGAGATCTACGCCATGGTAAGGGATGGGAGTGGGGTAGGACGTCAGATATGACGCGAGCGCACCTAGCTTGCCTCTCCCCCCCTCCCCCTCCTCCCTTCTCCTGCTCCTCCTGCTCATGCTGCTCCTGCCTCTGCCCTCCGCATTTCGACACACCCCTCACACGTTTCGTGTTCCCACAGGGAGCTCCACCGAAACCCCGGCTCGCATGCGGTACCCGCTTGCATGCCGACACGACCTTCACACGCTTCGCGGCCCCATGGGGGACTCCACCGAAGGCCCCAGTGGGAGGGCTCGCAGGCGTTGCCGCACCCATGTCGGCACACCCCTCACACGTTTCGTACTCCCACAGGGAGCTCCACGCAAGGCCCCGGCGGAAGGGTTCGCATGTGGCCCCCATATCCGAACACCCCTCACACATTTCGTGGTCCCACAGGGAGCTCCACCGAAGGCCCCAGTGGCAGAGCTTGCAGGCGTTACCCGCCCCCAGTTCGGCACACCCCTCACACGTTTCGTGGTCCCACAGGGAGCTCCACCAAAGGCCCCAGAGGAAGGGTTCGCATGCGGTGCCCGCCCCCAAGTCGGCACACCCCTCACACGTTTCGTGTTCCAACAGGGAGTTCCAGTGAAGGCCCCAGTGGAAGGGTTCACATTTGGTACCCGTCTCCATTTCGGCCCCAAACGCTTCGTCGCCCATCAGGGAGCTCCAACGAAGGCCCCAGTGGAAGGGCTTGCATGTGGCCCCAATGTCAGCACACCCCTCACACGTCTCGTGCCCCCACAGGGAGCTCTAACGAAGGCCCCAGTAGCAGGGCTCGCATGCGGTACCCGCCCCCATGTTTGCACACCCCACACACGCTTCGTGGTCCCACAAGGAGCTCCAGTGAAGGCCCCAGAGGAAGGGTTCACATGTGGCACCCGCCTCCATTTCGGCCCCAAACGCTTCGTCGCCCATCAGGGAGCTCCAACGAAGGCCTCAGTGGAAGGGCTTGCATGTGGCCCCAATGTCAGCACACCCCTCACACGTTTCGTGCCCCCACAGGGAGCTCCACTGAAGACCCCAGTGGCAGGGTTTGCATGTGGTGCTCGCCCCCATGTCGGCCCCACACGTTTCGTGGTCCCACAAAGAGGTCCACCGAAGGCCCCAGTGGAAGGGCTCGCATGTGGTACCCGCCTCCATTTCGGCACACCCCTCACACGTCTGGTTGTGGCCTCATAGGGTGCCCCACCGAGGGGTCCAATTGCATGTCTGTCTCGCATGCGGTACCCGTGCCCATTTCGGCACACCCCTCACACGCTTCGTGAACCCACAGGGAGCTCCACTGAAGGCCCCAGTGGCAGGGTACGCATGTGGTACTCGCCTCAATGTCGGCCCCACACGTTTCGTGCTCCCACAGGAAGCTCCACCGAAGTCCCCAGTGGCAGGGCTCGCATGCGGTACCCGCCCCCATTTCGGCACACCCCTCACACGTTTCGTAGTCCCACAGGGAGCTCCTCTGAAGGCCCCAGAGGCAGGGTTCGCATGTGGTACTCGCTTCCATTTCGGCCCCACACGTTTCGTGTTCCCACAGGAAGCTCCACCGAAGGCCCCAGTTGCAGGCTTCGCATGCGGTACCCTCCCCCATGTCGGCAAACCCCCTCACACGTTTCGTGGTCCCACAGGGAGCTCCAACGAAGGCCCCAGTGGAAGGGATCGCATGTGGTACCCGCCTCCATTTCGGCCCCAAACGCTTTTTGGCCCATCAGGGAGCTCCAACGAAGGCCTCAGTGGAAGGCTCGCATGTGGCCCCCATGTCAGCACACCCCTCACACGTTTCGTGCTCCCACAGGAAGCTCCACCGAAGGCCCCAGTGGCAGGGTTTGCATGCGGTACCCGCCCCCACGTCGGCACACCCCGCACACGTTTCGTGCTCCCACAGGGAGCTCCACTGAAGGCCCCAGTGCAAGGGTTCGCATGTGGTACCCTCCCCCATTTCGACCCAAACGCTTCGTGCCCATGTCAGCACACTCCTCACACGTTTCGTGGTCCCACAGGGAGCTCCTCTGAAGGCCCCAGTGGCAGGGTTCGCATGTGGTACTCGCCTAAATTTCGGCCCCACACGCTTCGTGCTCCCACAAGAAGCTCCACCGAAGGCCCCAGTTGCAGGCTTCGCATGCGGTACCCGCCCCCATGTCGGCAAACCCCCTCACACGTTTCGTGGTCCCACAGGGAGCTCCAACGAAGGCCCCAGTGGAAGGGATCGCATGTGGTACCCGCCTCCATTTCGGCCCCAAACGCTTTTTGGCCCATCAGGGAGCTCCAACGAAGGCCTCAGTGGAAGGCTCGCATGTGGCCCCCATGTCAGCACACCCCTCACACGTTTCGTGCTCCCACAGGAAGCTCCACCGAAGGCCCCAGTGGCAGGGTTTGCATGCGGTACCCGCCCCCACGTCGGCACACCCCGCACACGTTTCGTGGTCCCGCAGGGAGCTCCTCTGAAGGCCCCAGTGGAAGGGTTCACATGTGGCACCCGCCTCCATTTCGGCCCCAAACGCTGCTTGGCCCATCAGGGAGCTCCAACGAAGGCCTCAGTGGAAGGGCTCGCATGTGGCCCCCATGTCGGCACACCCCTCACACGTTTCGTGATCCCACAGGGAGCTCCACTGAAGGCCCCAGTGGCAGGGTTTGCATGTGGTACTCGCCCCCATGTCGGCCCCACACGTTTTTCGTGGTCCCACAAAGAGCTCCACCGAAGGCCCCAGTGGAAGGGCTCGCATGTGGTACCCGCCTCCATGTCGGCACACCCCTCACACGTCTGGTTGTGGCCTCATAGGGTGCCCCACCGAGGGGTCCAATTGCATGTCTGTCTCGCATGCGGTACCCGTGCCCATTTCGGCACACCCCTCACACGCTTCGTGATCCCACAGGGAGCTCCACTGAAGACCCCAGTGGCAGGGTCAGCATGTGGTACCCGCCTCCATCTCGGCGCTTCCCTCTCACGTTTGCCCTGGGGCATCCGCGCCTGCACATGCTTAGGGTCCTTCGCTCGGACAATTCGTGCCCCCCCGCCTTCCCCCCCCAAGAGAGACAGAACGAGGCGGAGAGGACCCCGACGACGCCGGCGACGACTCCGACAGCTCCTCCGAGTCGTCCAGCGCAGAGCAGTCGGAGCCCCGCAGCCCGCTTGCGAGCCCCGGAGGCCGCGCCTCGCCCGCGGGTGCCTCCCGCCGCTCCCGGGATCGCCTCGGGCGCTCCCTGCGCTCCACTCTGGGATGTGCTCCTGTCGGGGGGGGGGCGCTCCCGGGGCGCGCCCAGCAGATCTGTTCGACTCCAGTTCGACCGAAGCTCGGCGCAAGGCGACGGAAGCTCGGCACAGCATCGACGCACGAGCGGAGCGGGTGGCTCCAGGAAGCTCCCCAGAACGAGCACCTCACCCTCCCTCCCCCGTTACTACTACTACTACTACTACTACTACTACTACTACTACTACTACTACTACTACTAATACTACTACTACTACTACTACTACTACTACTACTACTACTACTACTACTACTACTACTACTACTACTACTACTACTACTACTACTACTACTACTACTACTACTACTACTACTACTACTACTACTACTACTACTACTACTACTACTACTACTACTACTACTACTACTACTACTACTACTACTACTACTACTACTACTACTACTACTACTACTACTACTACTACTACTACTACTACTACTACTACTACTACTACTACTACTACTACTACTACTACTACTACTACTACTACTACTACTACTACTACTACTACTACTACTACTACTACTACTACTACTACTACTCTTCATTCCCAGATCTCCATGGTCGTCGCGACGAGCCGACGGAGGGCACCCCGTCGCCGATGTCGGCCCGTGGGCCCCCTGGAGGCCGTTCGTCAACCAGGGGCCATGACGGAGCGACCCCGATTTCAAGTTCGTCAGCGTCATCTCACCCCATACGGTCGGACCGAGGTATAAGATCGAGGTCGGTTCGGGGAGGGTGCCCTAATGTTCTTCGTGGTTGTCGGATGTTCTTGTGTATCTTGGGCGAGGGTAACCTCGAATGTTCTTCAGCTTGGTCGGCGGAGGGTCTCAAGTTCTTGAAACATGTTCTTCTGTTCTAGGTCCGGCCGTACAGTCAAACCGCATAGGAAGGATGAGCGACATTCCAAGGTTCCCCTTGCATCCTTCCCCTTCGGCCCATCCTTGGCCGCTCTCGCTGGCCGCGCCCCGCTCGCAAGGTGCCGACCTGACATTCCAAGGCCCTTGCATCATCATCGTGCGTCCTTATTATACGAAGACTACGCTCTACCTACCGCCTTCTCCCCCCTCCCTGGACGTATCGCCCGTCCCCCCTGGGGCACTGCAAGTTATGGATGGTTCTGCCTCATCGTTCATTGTCCGTATGAGTTCATATCATCCCAGCCAGGCCGGGTATCGCCCCAGCCTCCCCCGTCGCCCTTGACAAATAAGACTAGACGCTCACACTCGCCAAGATCCAAACATGTATTTCAGCCATTTTTTGCAAACACATGCACAAAGCCCACACGCGCGTGCGCATGTTGATATCACACAAAGCATTCCAGTTCTGCAAGCAATAAGAAATAACAGCCTTAGCACCAACAAGCTTTTCACCACAAACCTTTCCGATGTTCTGCCCGCGCGCATGAGCTGAAATCATAGGGAAACACGCATGATGTTAGCAATATCATTCGCAACCCGCATTCTCATCTCACCACGCGGTGCATCCGCGTTGATCCAGCATGCTCCCAGTGCACGAACTCGTCTCAAAGAATACCTTGCGGGGCACACGCTCGCGCCCCCACGCGCTCGCATCGAAATTCTTCCCAAACCATGTTCCCAGAAGCAGTTCAAGATCGAGCTCGTCAAAAACATGTGAAAGTCGCGTGTATGTCAGCAGTAAGTTCGTCCGGTTTCTTGGATTTCTACGCGCGCCCGCAGTTTCTCACCATCATTCTCATCGGCGCCATCGGCGATCGCCGCCATCGCCGCCATCATCAATCAAAGCACCACCTTCGTCACCGACACATGGACATCATCATCGTCATCGTCGTCACCAGCATCGGCGCGGTCATTCGCCTTGCCATCGTCATCGTCATCATCGCCACCACCATCGCTACTGTCATCATCGTTGCCGCCGTTGTCGACGCCATCATGATACCGCGCCCACCCGAGTCACAGACATGCATTGAAGCACCCGCGCGCCAGCGCGGCCTTTCAGACGTGCTGGGAATTTCCCATCGGTTAGCGCTATCGCGGCCGCTTCTGTTGTGCCAAACCAGCTGGCCGCTCTGCGCGCGAGCTGGCGCGCGCCAGCGCGGCCCCAGAGATGCGTCAGCCAGGGCCAGGCAGACATCGCAATCGCGGCCGCATGGGTTTTGGAGAAAAAGTTGCGGGTGGGAGGGTGGGATGATTGCGCGAGCAGTGGAGTTGACAGCTCACGCGTTGTCAAAAATTAACCAAGCGAACTAGGCTGCACCACATAGCGTGCATCTCACAGACTGCACCGCGTAGAGTGCACGTCGAGAATGTAAGACTTCACGTTTTGAGGATCCACGCTGGCGAACATATGTGAACCGTGTAACTCAAACACGTCACAAACATATTGTGCAATGCGCCGGTACAGATGGACCAGGCGTGTAGGAATACATGACGCGGCTGGCTTGTGCGAGAGCTGCATACACACGTGGCCGCTGGTCCGTGTTCGGAATTCGTGTGGAAATAGTGCAGGCCTCGGCACGTGCCAAGCGGTCTCCACCTACTTCGCACGTGAATCCATCCGCGTGCGTGCGTGCGTGTGTCTGTGTGTGCACTGGCTCCGCCTCGACGATGCGCTCGAGGCCGCGATCGCCAAAAAGTGTGTGGATGTATGTGGGTGTTTGTGTGTGTGTGTGTCTTGCTGGCCTCTTGTCGTCCTACTTCTGGCCGACCTTTGCCGTTGCTGCGTCGCGCGGTTTCCGAGATTGTCTTCTTCCTTTTATGCCAGCGCGCGGTCGCGTGGCTTACGTACGCCTTGTGGCGTGGCCTGGGTTGCGACGCTCAAGAAGTGTGTGTGTGTGTGTGGGTGGGTGGGTGGGTGGGCGGGTGTGTGTGTGTGTTGTGTCTGTGTGTAGTATGTGGTGCGTGTGGTGTGTGGTATGTACTTTATGTGTGCGTGCGTGGGCGTGGGCGTTTGCGTGTGCGTGTGCGTGAGCGTGAGCGTGTGCGTGTGTGCGCAAGTGCGTCTGTACGTAGATGTGTGCGGGCGTGTGTCCATGCGTTCGTGTATGCATTTGTGCGCGCGCGTGTGTGTGTGTGTGTGTTTGCGTGTGTGATTGTGCGACTGTGTGACTGTGTGACTGAGTGTGTGTGTGTGTGTGTTTGTCTTTGTGCGTTTGTGTATTTGGTTGCTTGTGTTGTGATTGCGTGTGTGCTTGTGTCTGTCTTTGTGGTGGTGTTCGTGCTAGCGTTTGCCCTTGTGCTAGTGTTTGTGTGTGTACGCGTATGTGTATGTGTGTCTGCTTGTGTGCTTAGAGCTTCGCAGCAAGAGGCTCAACGCCTCCGGCGACCCGATCACCCCCTGGGAACCGAGGGGCCGGACCACCCGAGCGACCTCGCAGGGCATCGAGCGACCCGCCGAGGCCGAGGAGCAGAGGCCGCCGAGGGCATACCCGCCCAGCCAGCTCCACAGCACGCAGGGACCACGTGAGCAAAGCTCTGTGAGTCAGAAGCCAGGCGAAGGCTGGCCAACCCGTGGCCGCTAAAACGCAGCTCCGGGAGATGGTTTTTTGTTTTTGTTCTTCCGGGAAGCAGCCCGTTTACTATTTAATGCGCTGAGCTGTATTCTGGAAATTTGTTTGTTTCTCTTCCGGGAAGACCGTTTTAGCAGCCACGGATTTGCCGGCCTTCGCCCAGCCTCCGAGTGAGAGAGCGATGCATCGTTCCAGCTGCTTCTGGGCCATTCCTAAGGGGACGAAGAATGACAGAAACAGAAAAACTCGGAGGTCCGCGCGGATTTCTCGGATCCGCGCGGACCTCCGAGTTTTTATGTTTCTGTCATTCTTCGTTCCCCTAATTCCGTTCAATCGTGGCGCTCCGGCGAAGGTATAGGCGTGCTTCGCGCCCGCAGCAGTTGTCGGTCGCGTGCGGCTCGAGCGGGTTGCTCCAGAGCCTCGAGGGCCTACCCGACACTGCTGTACCAGAGCGACCGCCAGCTACAGTCGCCGCCAGGGCAATACATATTGTCCTTCTCAGAAGCGACGGCACTGCGACTGCCTGCGGCGACAATCACCTCGGCCAGTGCGATCTCCCTGCGCTGGTCGAAGGTGTGACTTACACAGGTCGCCGCGGGAGTATATCATACCGACCTTCTCAGAAGAGAGGGCACTGCGACTACCTGCGGCGACAATCACCAATCACCTGTGCCAATGCGACGCCCCAGCGCTTGTTGGAGGTCTGACCTACTCACAGGTATCGCCATCCGTCCTGCTCAGGATCGATGGCAGTGCGACGGCCTGCGGCCGCAACGACCAAGGCCTGTGCGATGCCCCAGGGCTTGTCGGAGGCCTGAACACACATATCCGCTGGAGCAATGCATTCTGTCCTGCTCAGGTGCGACGACAGTGCGACGGCCTGCGGCAGCAACCGCCAAGGCCAGAGCGATCTCCCTGCGCTGGTTGGAGGTGAGGCAGACATGACGCGTCAGTTGCTGGCATCACGTGAAGGTGATTCAATTGTGTTATTACTTCCAGCGGGGTGGGGCGTCACAGAATCAGGGCGTTGCCCACTGTTCCATTGGCTGGTGTACGGCCAGTTGATGGTCGAGCATCGCGCGGGCAATCTTGAAGATGCAAGTGCACACATTGACGCAATCTTGCCAGGAAGCCGTCGACTGAGCACTGCTCCGGCCAAAGAGATCGTTGCAAGTGCCTTCGGACTCCGTCGTACGCGTGTGGACGGCAAGTGCCCGCGTTGCTCGTACTGTAGCCAGTGACCTGGAGGGACCCTGCGCCAGTGATGGAGATAACGAATGACGTGCGACGTTGGAGATGCATGTGGTGGTGCTGGAGATTCTCGGGAGTACGCTCCTCGTGCGAGGATCCCCAGGAAGCTGGATACACATGACGTGGCCGGCTCAGGCAAGAGCTGGGTACATGTGTAGTCGCATACGTTTCCGGCGATCGGCCCGATCGGCCCTACATGGCCAAATACCCTTGTTTCCCACATGTGAATCCGGCGTCCAACTGCTCCGAATGTGAATCCAGCCGCGTTGTTTCCAGCTTCCCAATCTATCATATAGATGGCATTCGCAGATCGATCCACAGAACAAGCTGAACATATCAGTTTACCAGCCACGCCCAAGGCATCTAAGTCCGCGAACGCACTCAAGAAACTCTTACTCGGTCTCATCGGCCTGATGGGACATGGCAAGGCCGTTGTTGCCCCATGGGATTCCACACACAGGGGCTTTCTGTCGCCCCGTTCTGAAGAGAATTTACACGTGGGTTTCGATATCACCGCCGTCGCTGTTGGACGTGGGTTTGTAGCGTCGTCGCTGCACAAAGACTGCACCGCATATATTGCACGGCGTACACCGTTCTCTATAGGCTGATTTTTCTGAAGCGTGTTCGACGCGAGCTTGCCGTCAGTGTCTGCGCAGAGCGGACACGATATGGCCGCGTGCGACGGAGCATCCATAATCCATAGCCACCGCCTCGGGCTCGTGCCCTGGAATCTCGAAGACCTTCCGAAGAGCAGAGGGCACGGACCACTGACCCCCCCCACGAGGGCGGGAGAGTATTCCAGATTTCGTAATGAAAGGGATGGGGTCTGGACCCTCCAAGACAAGCCATTTCAGACCTCCCCCGTGGGAGAACCCTCCAAAACATCGTCCCCAGACCCCCCAGGCCCTCCAAGATAGCCTGGAAGAGACCCCCCCCCGAAATGAGACCCCCCTCCCTTTGTTGCGAACTCTGGAGCATCCCTACGAGCGCCGGCCGACATCTCGGTCGGTTGACATCACAGCGGGGATGCCGCGGTCGGCCTTTTGGGGGGGGGAGCGCGCCGATGCCGACCAGCTCTCGGGGGCCACGGGGACAGGGCTCGTTTCGATTCCTCCGATTCGATTCGATTCGATTTCGATGGTTTCCGATTCCGATTCGAGTCGATCTGGGATTCCGATTTGAGCTCCGATTTCTTATTGGAGGCATACTAGCCTGCCGATTTCTGCCGATCCGACTTTTCCCGACTCAGCTGCCGATTTCCGACGATCCGATTCATGTCGATCGCCGATCCGACTTGTCGATCCGATCCTGGGCTCTCCTGCGGGGAGGCCGCCCCCGACCCTCGCAGTGCCCCGCCCTCGCCCGGGCCGAGCCAGCTGCGGGAGTGCGGGCCCGCGCGCAGAGCCGCCGCTCTCCGGGGCTCCAGGGCCACGCTCTTCGCAGCTGTGGACCGGACGGGGCCAGGGCGAGGAGAAGGAGGAGGACGAGGAGGAGAAGGAGGAGGAGGAGGAGGAGGAGGAGGGGGAGGAGGAGGAGGAGGAAGAGGATGATGATGATGATGATGAGGAGGAGGAGGAGGGGGAGGAGGACAAGCTAGGTGCGCTCGCGTCATATCTGACGTCCTACTTTATTAAAGCGCACCCTGAGCGTTCCGGGGCGCTCTGCGAAGACCGCGGCGCCCGAGGCTATCCCCCAGGGCCGCCGGCTCTCCGAGGTTGTCGATCCATCCTCGCCCGATGTTGTCCTCGCCCTGGCTTCGTCTTGGGTGCAGGCGCGGCCGCGCTCCAGCCCGACCGCGGCCAGGGAGTTTTGAGGTTTTCGATCTGTCCTCGCCCGATGTTGTCCTCGCCCTGGCTCCGTCTTGGGTGCAGGCGCGGCCGCGCGCCAGCCCGACCGCGGCCTGGGAGTTTTGGTCGTTGTCCGAGCCGCCGCCAGGCTCGCCCTCGCAGGCCGGGAGCGGCAGGCGGGAAGGCGTGAACGCCTTGGACAGGCTGCGCAGGGTGATCAAGGACCCGGCGGCTGGAGCTCCGAGGAGGGACTGCTGCCATGGAGGAGTCAGGTCCCGAGGGAAGCGGGTCGTGAGGCTTTTCGCCGTGTTCCGTCTCTCGGGGCCCTCCACGGGCCCCTGGACGGTCAGAAAACGACTCGGGATGGAGAACTGGTCTTGGGGGAAGCCCCCAGGGTCCAGGACTCGTTTCCCTTAGGACCCGTTACCCCCACGCGAAGGAGGATTCGTCTCGTCGACCGAGGGGCAAAAAATATTACCCTGCGACGTACCCAACCCTTTCTATACATGTGGTGGTTACATTCGGGACCACTCAATGCTGACGGGCATGCTGAAGAACCCGCAGTGCGGAAGAAGAGCACCCATCAGTGAACTCAGAAGAGCGCAGCACGAAGAGCAGCGGCAACGCGTTAACCTCCGCTGGTCCTCCGCCAACGAAAGTGACGACAGTTGCGCAGATTGCAGCCCCCAGGGCGCCGCGAGGTCTCGAGGTGGTCCACGTGGGACGTACCTCCGCTGGACCTCCCAGGAGCCCACGAAAGCGGCGACAGTTGCGCAGATCGCAGCCCCCCAGGGCGCCGCGAGTTCTCGAAATTGTCCACGTGGGACGTACCTCCGCTGGGCCTCCCAGGAGCCCACGCAAGTGGCGACACTTGCGCAGATCGCAGCCCCCCAGGGCGCCGAGACGTCTCGAGGTGATCCGCGTGGGGCCCACCTCCGCTGGGCCTCCCAGGAGCCCACGAAAGTGGCGACAGTTGCGCAGATCGCAGCCCCCCAGGGCGCCGCGAGGTCTCGAGGTGGTCCGCGTGGGACCCACCTCCGCTGGGCCTCCCAGGAGCCCACGAAAGTGGCGACAGTTGCGCAGATCGCAGCCCCCAGGGCGCCGCGAGGTCTCGAGGTGATCCGCGTGGGACCCTCCCAGAAGCCCACGAAAGTGGCGACAGTTGCGCAGATCGCAGCCCCCAGGGCACCACGAGGTCTCAAGGTGATCCGCATGGGACCCACCTCCGCTGGGCCTCCCAGGAGCCCACGAAAGTGGCGACAGTTGCGCAGATCGCAGCCCCCAGGGCGCCGCGAGAGAGGTGGCGATCCGTGATCGCAGCTGGGCCTCCCAGGAGCCCACGAAAGTGGCGAGCGCAGATCGCAGCCCCCAGGGCACCGCGAGGTCTCGAGGTGATCCGCGTGGGACCCACCTCCGCTGGGCCTCCCAGGAGCCCACGAAAGTGGCGACAGTTGCGCAGATCGCAGCCCCCAGGGCACCGCGAGGTCTCGAGGTGATCCGCGTGGGACCCACCTCCGTGGCGACAGTTGCGCAGATCGCAGCCCCCAGGGCACCACGAGGTCTCGAGGTGGTCCGCGTGGGACCCACCTCCGCTGGGCCTCCCAGGAGCCCACGAAAGTGGCGACACTTGCGCAGATCGCAGCCCCCAGGGCACCGCGAGGTCTCGAGGCGATCTGCGTGGGACCCACCTCCGCTGGGCCTCCCAGGAGCCCACGAAAGTTGCGACAGTTGCGCAGATCGCAGCCCCCAGGGCACCGCGAGGTCTCGAGGTGATCCGCGTGGGGCCCACCTCCGCTGGGCCTCCCAGGAGCCTACGAAAGTGGCGACAGTTGCGCAGATCGCAGCCCCCAGGGCGCCGCGAGGTCTCAAGGTGATCCGCGTGGGGCCCACCTCCGCTGGGCCCAGGAGCCCACGAAAGTGGCGACAGTTGCGCAGATCGCAGCCCCCAGGGCACCGCGAGGTCTCGAGGTGATCCGCGTGGACCCACCTCCGCTGGGCCTCCCAGGAGCCCACGAAAGTGGCGACAGTTGCGCAGATCGCAGCCCCCAGGGCGCCGCGAGGTCTCGAGGTGATCCGCGTGAGACACACCTCCGCTGGGCCTCCCAGAAACCCACGAAAGTGGCGACAGTTGTGCAGATCGCAGCCCGACGGCACGAGAGAAGAGGAGAGGGGAAATCAGGAAACAGGAGAGGAGGAGGGGAGGAGTGGGGAGGAGAAGAAGGAGGACGGGGCGACCACACTGCTCTATTCAAAACGAGTGCCCTGGGAGGGTTGGGAAAAACAACACAAACATAATCCCACCAGAACATGCGCAGCGAACCCGTTGCGGCCTCCCCCCACCACCCCTGTCAACAGAACAATACAGAGTACACTTGGCGGCGGCGGCGGCGGCGGCTGCGGCGGCTGCGGCGGTGGCGGCGGCGGTGGCGGCGGCGGCGGCGGCAGCGGGTGTGGCGGCGGCAGCGGCGGCGGTGGCGGTGGTGCGGCGGCGGCAGCGGTGGCGGCAGCGGCTGCGGCGGCAGCGGCTGCGGCGGCGGCGATTCGGCAGCGGGGGCGGCGGCGGCGGCGGGCGACGCGGCGGCGGCGGCGGCGGATAGCGGCAGCGGCGGCGCGGCGGTGGCGGCGGCGGGCGGCGGCGGCGGATTGGCCCCCAGTAGCTGCCCATCCAAGGACGACTGCTGAATATGCTGCTGCTCGGGCCAGGCTCTGGTGCTACATATGTGCTGGGAGGGCAAGTGGGAGTGAGCGAGACGGCTTGCTGGCGGGGAGGGAGTCTTGATCACTGTTCCTCATTAATATACACCCCCTCCCCCAGGCGATTGGGAGCCAACTCAGGTCCATGAGGGCCCCCCCCGACCAGCCATTTTAAAAACATTATCCCGGCAAAGCAACTTAACAGCGATGTGTAGAAGCATATCTGAAAGCATTCCCCTTAAGATTCAAATGAAAATCCAGTTGTAGAATTCTGCTGTTCTCGCAGTCGTAGTCGCATTCGCGATGACAGTCGCAGCGGCAACGGCAGTCGCAGTCACAGCCTCAGCCTCAGCCTGCCTCAGCCTCAGCCTCAGCCTGCCTCAGCCTCAGCCTGCCTGCCTCAGCCTCAGCCTCAGCCTGCCTCAGCCTCAGCCTCAGTCTGCCTTCAGCCTCGGCCTCAGCCTCAGCCTGCCAGGGCCTCAGCCTGCATCAGCCTCAGCCTCAGCCTCAGCCTGCCTCAGCCTCAGCCTCAGCCTCGGCCTCGGCCTCGGCCTCAGCCTCAGCCTGCCTCAGCCTCAGCCTCATTCTGCTTCAGCCTCAGCCTCAGTCTGCTTTCAGCCTCGGCCTCAGCCTCAGCCTGTCTCAGCCTCAGCCTGCCTCGGCTGCAGCATCAGTTTGCTTCAGCATTGAAAATGTGGCCCAGGAATGAAGTTCTGGGAACTAGAAGAACACGAAGTGGCCTACAGTTGGCTCTGGGCATTCAAGATCATGCCCACGAATGGAGTTCTGGGAACACGAAGAACACGAAGTGGCCTACAGTAGGCTCCAGGCATTCAAAATGTGGCCCGGGAATGGAGTTCTGGGAAGTCCAAGAGCACGCAGCGGCTTACAATTGGCTCCGGGCATTCAAAATGTAGCCCGGGAATGGAGTTCTGGGAAATCGAAGAGCACGAAGTGGCCTACAGTTGGCTCCGGGCATTCAAAATGTGGCCCGGGAATGGAGTTTTGGGAGCGCCAAGGGCGATTTTGCGAGGATGTCTCAAGCGATTTGGGTGGCGGCGGCAGAGCGCCGGCAGCCTCCCCGGGTCCCGCCCCGACCCCCCTGTGGAGTCATGATGCTCTCTTTTGAGACCACTAGAAACCTATCAGCAAAAGCTGTTAGGTAACAATACAAAGCACATTCTGCCCCCACCATCCCTTGCAAAAAAACATTATCCCGGCAAAGCAACCTAACAGCGATGTGTAGAAGCATATCTGAAAGCATTCCCCTTAAGATTCAGATGAAAATCCAGTTGTAGAATTCTGCTGTTCTCGCAGTCGTAGTCGCATTCGCGATGACAGTCGCAGCGGCAACGGAAGTCGCAGTCACAGCCTCAGCCTCAGCCTGCCTCAGCCTCAGCCTCAGCCTACCTCAGCCTCAGCTTGCCTCAGCCTCAACCTCAGCTTGCTTCAGCCTCAGCCTCAGTCTGCCTTCAGCCTCGGCCTCAGCCTCAGCCTGCCTCAGCCTCAGCCTGCATCAGCCTCAGCCTCAGCCTCAGCCTGCCTCAGCATCAGCCTGCTTCAGCCTCAGCCTCAGCCTGCCTCAGCCTCAGCCTCAGTCTGCTTCAGCCTCAGCCTCAGTCTGCCTTCAGCCTCGGCCTCAGCCTCAGCCTGCCTCAGCCTCAGCCTGCCTCGGCCGCAGCATCAGCCTGCCTCAGCATTCAAAATGTGGCCCAGGAATGGAGTTCTGGGAACTAGAAGAACACGAAGTGGCCTACAGTTGGCTCCGGGCATTCAAAATCATGCCCAGGAATGGAGTTCTGGGAACTTGAAGAGCACGAAGTGGCCTACAGTTGGCTCCGGGCATCCAAAATGTGGCCCGGGAATGGAGTTCTGGGAAATCGAAGAGCACGAAGTGGCCTACAGTTGGCTCCGGGCATCCAAAATGTGGCCCGGGAATGGAGTTCTGGGAAGTCGAAGAGCACGAAGTGGCCTACAGTTGGCTCCGGGCATCCAAAATGTGGCCCGGGAATGGAGTTCTGGGAGCACCAAGAGCGATTTTGCGAGGATGTCCAAAGCGATTTCGGTTTCGGCGGCAGCCGCGGCGGCAGCCTGTCCGGGTCCCGCCCAGACCCCCCTGAGGAGTCATGATGCTCTCTTTTGAGACCACTAGAAACCTATCAGCAAGAGCTGTTAAAATACACTCTGTCTCCAAATTCGGAGCTCGCGCAGCGATCCCGATGCGGCCTCCCCCTACCATCCCTGTCAACACAACAATACAGAGTACACGTGGCGGCGGCGGCGGAGGCGGCGGCTGCGGCGGCTGCGGCGGCTGCGGGGGGGGCGCGGGTGCGGCGGCGGCGGCGGCGGCGGCGGCGGCAGCGGTGGCGGCAGCGACCGCGGCGGCAGCGGCTACGGCGGCGGCGATTAGGCAGCGGGGGGGCGGCGGCGGCGGCGGCGCCGGCGGCGGGCAGCGCGGTGGCGGCGGCAGCGGCGGACAGCGGCGGGCGGCGCCGGCGGCGGCGGCGGCGGCGGAGGCGCCAGCGGCGGCGGCGGATTGGCCCCCAGTAGTTGCCCATCCAAAGACGACTGCTGCATATGCCGTGGCTCGGGCCAGGCTCGGGTGCTACGTATGTGTTGGGAGGGCGGGCGGGGGTGAGCGAGACGGCTTGCGGGCGGGGAGGGCGTCTTGACCCCTCCCCCTACCCCTTCCCCTGGACCTGGACGGGGTGGGTCCGCGGGTAGTTGGAGCGTCCAAAACGGCCTCGGCGAGGAAGCCGAAATCAGTGGTTTACAAAGGTGTTGGCCCCATTTTGGCCTCCTGGGGGGGGGACCCTAATTCAGGAACCACATTTCTTTGATCGATCTCCTTCGAGATGGCCCCAAGAGCGCTCCCAAGGCTCCCAATGGTGCCCCAAGAGGGCCCCAAGAGGTGACCAGGAGGCCCCAAGAGGCCACCAAGAGGCCCCCAGGATGCCCCCAAGAGGCTCCCAAAAGACCCCCAAAACGCCCAAGAGGCCCCCCAGAGGCACCCAAGACGGTCCAAGAGGCCTCGGCGAGAATGCCAAAATCACTGATGTTACTAAGGTTTTGGCCACGCGTTGGCCTCCTGAAGGGGGGGGGCACTGATCAAGGTGGCTCCAAGAGCGCATGGGGGAGTCCACGATGACCTCCAAGATGGCTCAAGATATCCCAAGATGCTTCAAGATGGCTCCCACGATGCTCCAAGAGGCCCCAAGACCGTTCCAAAACGGCTCCAAGTGGCCAAAGAGCTCCCCCAGAGGCCAAAACCATTCCAAAACGGAAGGAAAAACAATGATTTTGGCTTTCTCGCCTTTTCGCTTCCGATGGCCATCCGAGGCGTGAAGGTGGCTCCAAGATGGCCCAATGGGGCTCCAAGAGAGGCTCAAGAGAGCCCCAAGACGGCCCCAAGAGCGCCCAAGAGCGCTCCACGAGCGCCCCAAGAGGCAACTTTGGGCTCCCGAGGGGGAACCGACGCTAATGAATGCTCCCCTCTTGTTTGATCGATGTCTTCCAAGATGGCCCCAATCGATGTCCTCCAAGATGGCCCCAAGAGCGCTCCCAAGGCTCCCAAGAACGCTTCAAGAGGGCCCCAAGAGGCGCCCAGGAGGCACCAGAAGGCCCCACCAGGCGCCAGAGAGGCCTCCAAGAGGCTCCCAAGAGACCCCCAAGAGGCCCCAAGAAGCTTTCAGAGGCACCCGAGACGCTCTAAGAGGCGTCCGGGACCGCCAAGAGGCCTCCCTCCACTGGGGGACCTTTCCTCTGTCTGCTGCCCACTTCCCTGATCGAGGCAATTCCTCTGGGCATCGTTTCTGGATGGATTGGTGGGGTTACGCGAAGCGTTTAGAATTTCCCAGAAGTCTGCGCGGATTTCTTGGATCGGCGCTGGGCCCCCCTGGCGCGCTGCGCGCGCCAGGAAGAGGAATCCAGAATCCCAGAAATCCGCACGGAGCTCCGAAAGTTTATGTACGTGCCGCTTTTTTATATTAAAAGACAAAAAAAAACATTGCCTGGGGGATCCATTGTTCGGGGACCTTGGCAGGCGGTGCAGATGGACATGTGTTCGGACCCTGGAGGGGCACGTATGTACATATCCACTGCATGCCGAGGTCCGCGTAGATCAACCCCTCAGGCGGCGGTTATGGATCAAACTCCGGGAAGATACATTCTGAGGAGGAAATGATGCCGATACCGTTGCCCGTCACGTGTCGCCGCGGCTGGATCCACCTCGGGTTTCTTGTCATAGCGCACCTTGGGAGAGGTCTGGTGAGTATCGGTATCGGTATCCTTTCTCATCATACGTATCCACCGCCTGGGGGACCGATCTTCATGGACCCCAGGGAGCGGCGGGCGTGGATACAATTGGGGACCCCTCGGGCCCAAATATATCCACACCCGCCCCCCCTCCTGTGTGGGAGATCGGTTCCCCAGGCGGTGGAGACTTAGGTATAGACCCATGCCTCGCAGCCACGCCGTTTGGTGCGTGCTTGGCCCCTCCTCCTCCTCCTCCTCCTCCTCCTCCTCCTCCTCCTCCTCCTCCTCCTCCTCCTCCTCCTCCTCCCCCGCTGGCTGGAGGCGAACGAGGTGGCAACCCTCTCCCTCTCCCTCTCTCTCTCTCTCTCTTTCTCTTTTTCTTTTTTTGTTCTCTCTCTCTCTCTGAACTTGCGCGAAGGCGGCCAGGGAGCGTGCGCTCATCCTTCCCAGGACGCCGAAGGCGCTGGGTTCCCGCCCCGTCGGGGCCAGGCCTCAGGCGAGTCGGCCCTGCCTCCGCAGTGCGGCAGGGCTCCCCTCGCCCCACAAGAGGGTCCATTTGGCTCCGGTCGATCCGATTCGACATCGATCTCGGCCGGCACGATCCGGTTCGACTCCGGTATCCCGACGATCCGATGCGGCCTGATGCTTGCACGGCGCTGCTGTGCATCCTGGCGCGACCGATCCGATGTGATTCCGACCCCTTGCCGATGCGGCCCGTCGTCGGCGCACGCCCCGATCCGAGGCTGACCGATCCTGCCCCCCCTCTTGTTTGCCCCGCCAACTCTCGGACGGGGCCAGGACGATAATAAAATCCGTTACAGAGCGTTCCGGAACGTTCTCAAAACGTTCCCCGGAAGGCCGCAGCGCCTGAGACATCTTCCAGAGCCGCCGGCTCTCAGAGATTCTCGAGTTTGCCTCGCCCGAGTTGATCCTCGTCCCGGCTTCGTCTTATCAGCCGCGATCCAGCTCTCGCCAGACCCGCCGCACTCGCCAGGGCTCGCCTCTTTCTCTCCGGGCCGAGCGGCCACGGTGGCGCGCTGGTGCTGGGCGCGGCTGCACGGCACGCGGGCGGGAGGAGATGGGCAGGCCGCGCGACCGGGCGCGGTGCCCGGCCCCCCCCTCGCCCTCAGGACGACAAGTTCGCGTGGGCCCTGCCCCCCATCAAGCGAGTCATGCTCAAGGCCCCCCGCCTCTTCGACAGCGAGCCCGCGGCTCCCCCCACGCTCGCGGGCAAGTCGTTCGCGCGCCGCAGCATCTGCGCCAAGTGCGGCGCGGTGCCGTACAAGGGCTGGGGGAAGGCGTCCTGCCAGGCCCGGCTCACCAGGAGAACAGCGAGGGGGGTGCATCGGGCGTGCGGTCCCCTCGCCGTCGTCGCCGTCGCCGTCATTGTCTCGTCGTCATCCTCGTCACCGTTGTCACCGTCGTCGGGAGGAGGAGGAGGAGGAGGAGGAGGAGGAGGAGGAAAAGGAGGAGGGGAAGAAGGAGGAGGGACGGGAAGGACCTTGGGGGCGAACCTGTCGTCCATCCCACGTGATGCCTCGGTGCCCAGCCAGCCTGACCCAGACTCCGGTCGGCCCAGAGGCTTGCGGGCTGGGGGAGGTGATCCTCCTAGAGTGCATGTCAACGCTGGATCCAGACGAGTTGGACGAGTTGCCGGCCCTCGACCGCCTGCTGCCAACGAGTGCCTGACGGTACGCTTGCATGTGAACGCTTCGGGCTCTCTCTGATGTCGGAAGAACACACACATACACACACACACACACACACGTTCACACACACACACACACACACACACACACGCACACATACACACACACACACACACACACACGGTACGTTCATGCAGCGATGGCGCGCCGGCGACGCCAGCGAAGGCGTTCAAATTTTGAATTCTGCATGATCGAACGAAGCGGAAACACTGACGGACACGGTAACGCCACAGGACCCGACGGAATTTAACCTTGAACGATCGGTGCCGCCATCGGGTCAAGGTGGAACGATCGACGCGGTGTCAAAAACCTTTGCGCGCGCCGACGCCGCAGGAACCTACCGTACCCATCGGGGGGTCGGCGGGAGGAGGATGGGCTATGGGTATGGATATGGATGCGGGTTGTCGAACCCTGGGGGAGGCTCCCGTTCGGGCGGGGCCCTCTCAAAGCTACGATGGGCCAGAAATGGCGGAATATTGCAGTTTATCATCTGACTAAGAGACTTCCTCCCGAAAAGTTGGGCCAGCATGTCTTAACCAGCTTGCCAGGAAGCTGGTCCAGTGTCTGCGGAATGTTTGCCACTCCAGCGTTAACAACATAAGTTGGCCCAGGCTCGTGTTTTAGAACTTCGGGAAGCTGGCCCAGTTTTCTTACATGACAGGTGTCGTGATCGTATGTTCGGCTGTGATCACATTTCTGCCGCATCTCTGGTCTTTCAATACTTTCGGCATGTGACATGCGACGGGTCCTATCCAGAGGCTCTTGGAGAGGTCAAGGTGCGGCACTTAGGCAGCCCTGAGGGGCTCCGCAGGGGTCTTGGGGCCGTCAGGGGGAGGTCTTGGACATTCTCGGATCCGTCTTCGACTGGTCGCGGACCTTCTTTTGGCAGTGTCGGGGCTGTCTTCGGCCCTCTTGGGTCGATCTTGGATCAGTGTTGGGGAGGCGGGAGGGCCGCGCGGGGGAGATGGGCCTGGGCCAAGCTCAGCAGTGCAAAGCGCGGTGGTGGATAGGACTGCGCCGATCTGTGACCCTGCTCGCGCTATTGCGCCAGCTAGGCGCCCGAAGTGCGCGAAGCCCTTCCCCCGTGGTTGTTGCTTGCTTCTTTGTGTGATGTATCACCTGGCGCCATGCTGTGATTGGGAGCGCCAGCAATTCGTGCACAACGCCGTTCGCTGACCCGTCATGTATTGTTTCACACAGGACTTTGTAAAGCTAAGATGCGATCAGCCCGTGATTTGCTCGAGCTGCGGTGGAAAACAAAGTCGAACACATCATACCTTGGTTCGACCGTGGGCGCCTGCTCCCATACTTTCCAGAACATGGTCAGCGCTAGCAGTATCGAAGACGCTTGCAGAGAGTCACCGCCGCCTCATGCCTTTCTGGAATCGCCTACGTTGCCCAACGTTGGGTCTAAGTCTGGCCAAGCTATTTGACTGTGTCTTCTCCCAGCCGCGGTGGAAACCCTTGTGGCGGAAAGAGAGGAGGCGAGGGAGGGGAGGAGAAGGAGGAGGCCTCTTGATGGTCCTCTTGGAGGTCTCGTGGGCTGTCGTGGAGCAGTTTTGGGGGTGGGCTGTCTTTGGGACGGGCTGGGCCGTTTGGGGGCCAATTTGACGGCCTCTTGTGCCGACTTGGATCGTCGGTAGTTCGAAAAGGAGCGAACGCAAAAGTCCTTCAGGCAGCCAGAGACAATCGACATGGTTGGCATCTTCAGGCCCTCCTGGGGGTCTTCTTGGAGGCCTACTGAGGGCCGATTGGACAATATTGGAACAACCTGGAGCCGTATTGATGCCGTCTTGGGCGTCTTGGAGGTGTTTCGGAGACCATCTTGGGAATATTGGAGGCCATCTTGATCAATTTGAGCCATCTCGGAGGCCATCTTGGAACCATCTTGAGCGGCCCTTGCCTCCAACCTTTTGAGACTATTCCTAGTGGCGGGCGGGATCGGTCGTGGACAAGAAGATTGTTAGAGGTTTCTTGGGGTCTCTGGGTGAGCTTCACGGGGGCATTATGTAAGCATCGTTGGGGCCTCTGGTAGCCTCCTGGGAGCCTCATGGGACACCTTGGGGTTGTATGGGGGCCTCTTGGGGGCATGTTGGTGATCTCGGGGGCATCTTTGGGAGCACGGCTCGAAATATCAGTTCGGGTTTTCCCTCTTGGGCTCCTCTCGGAGCCCTCTTGGGAGCCTCTTGGGAGCCTCTTCTTAGGGCCCTCTTGGGCAGTCTGAAGAGCCTCAGAGGGGCGTATTTGGTTGTCTTGGATTTATCTCGGGGACCGCCGGATTGCAACTGATCCAAGGGCTTCATAGCTTCAGATCATAGCTGCATAACTTCCGAGGTAAATTTTCTGTTCCACTGTTTTGACAGGGTTCCCAGACGGATCAAAAATACACCCACTGCGTTTGATGTGCATTACAACTGTTTTGTCCCAGTTTAACCCGTAGGCACCCCTTTCTTCGATAACAACGTTCAGAAGTGATTGTAATTTGTGCGCGCTGCTGCTTACAAATATTGTGTCGTGTGTAAGTTGTCCAATGCCTCCCCGTTGGGCAGCAGGTACTTCCAAAATTTCAGGAGGTATGTCGTCAACTCCGGCAGCCTTCCCAACCGACATCTTTTGAGCACGTCAGTCAGTTCTTCCATTGTAAAAGCGTCCATATTGATTTGAAGTGTCTCATCCGGCTGAAGGTCTTGCGTTCGGGTTCGTGATTTTCCATTGTGTATCTGCCAATGCATTCCCACGCTCTTTGCTGTCAGCGAGTTTTTGATTTGTACTGGTTTCTTTGCGGGACCTTTCCGAAGCTGTCGAATTGCTCGCCACCGGGCCGCCGTGTAAATTGTCATCAAACCACATGCGTTATCCTTTTGCGCAAATTTCCGAATGGCCTTGGAGACTATTTTTTTTGTCCTCGATTGGCGCACACGTCGAGCAACATCCTTGGAAATTAATAAATTTAATGTACCTTGTGAAATCCATGGCCGGTGTGCTTGCTTAGCCGTCTCGCTGAGACGGACGGCATCGCATCTCTGATTGTTCGGTATGTTTATCTAAATTTTCAAAGATGCTGTTCGCACGTATTGCCCCGCAAAAAACCTGTCGCCGTAGATCTCCGCCAGATCTCGATCGATACAGAATGCTTGCCCCCGAGTGGAATACCGTACTTTGGGTTTCCATGACGTGTCCAACGAGGTAGACGTTCAAATTTGTAACAAGAAATGCCGTGATACCAGCGTCGCGTCACGGTAGGATTCAATTTGAAATGTGTTCCAACAGCGGGGCATCTGCCACGCAATGGTCAATTTCAGCGAAACCTTTTGTATGGGCATTTTCTGTCAAAGGAAAGGTATGACCAAGTGGTTTGCCCCATGTTCGAAAAATGTACAGCTTGATTTGTCGATCAAACAAAATTGCGCTGAAAGCATAAGATGTTTGTTTCAAGATTTCCGCGTTGGAAACTATCGAGATGAACGAAAAACATATGCACATGATTTTATTCAAGCAGCGCGCGTGGAAAGCGTCCAAACGACGTTTGTGGAATTGCAACAACCATATAGATTCGAGATTATATTTGGCAAAATAAATATAATTCGACCTTTGTTTTCCTGGATATGCTCGCATACGATCTTTACGTCGTTTTGAAAATGCCTTTCGTTTCCCCAACCCGTTTGGTAAATTCTGTTTGTGCGGACGTGTCTACAGCGACAATGATTAGATTTCCGAGGTGAATTGTTGGTTCCACTGTGGATCAAAAATACACCCACTGCGTTTGATATGTATGCCATTTGTTGTATCTCGGTTTAACTTGTGGGTGCCCTTCGATATTAATGTTCAGAACTGATTGTAATTTGTGGACCCTGTGCTTACCAATATTGTATCGTGTGTAAGTTGTCAAATGTCATTTGTTGGGCAGCAAGTACTTCCAGAATGCAGGAGGTATGTCATCAACTCTGGCAGCCTTCCCAACCGACATTTTTTGGGGCACGTCAGTCAGTTCTTCCATTCTAAAAGCAACCATATTGATTTGTCGTGTCTCATCAGGTTGAAGGTTTTGCGCTCGGGTTCGTGATTTTCCATTATGTATTTGCTAATATAGTCCCACGCTCTTTGCTGTCAGCGAGCAATTCGACAGCTTAGGTAAGCTGTCGAATTGCTCACCGCCGGGCCGCCGTGTAAATAATGTTCATCAAATTACATGCGTTTATCCTTTTGCGCAAATTTCCGAATGGATTTGGAAATTATTGTTTTTTCTCGTTTGGCGTGCACGTCGAGCTGGCAATTAATACATGTCATGTAGTTTGTGTAATTCATGGCTGGTACGCTTGCATACTTAGCCGTCTCACCGATGACCCATGAGACAGCGTCGTATGTCTGTTTGATTTGTCCGGCAAAGATGGTGTTCGCGTGTCTTCTCCCGCCAAATATCTCGTTGCCGTTAATTTCCGCGAGAGTTTGGAGCGTCTAAGGTTTTTTGGGTGAGGGTTCCAGGAAAAATCGAGGGAAGAAAATAAATAAAAAGTGGAGAGGAGAACAAGGGGAAAACAAATAAAATACGGTAAAACAGAAAACCAATTCTCGAATATTTTTGAAAATTTATTTCGCATTTCTCTCCCCCCCAAAAAAAAAATAAAAAACTTCGACGGGCGTCTTGCCTCATGCAAGGTTCTTCGAATCTTCCTCCCACCGCGTCCCTTGCACTTTGGCCAAATTTTCTGATCGGAATTGTACTCCCGGTATTCAGAGTGGTACCTGATTACGGAGTGCTCTCTTTTTTGTTTCAGTTCCGTTCGTTTTTTTTATTTTGCTACTGCCGTTCGTTCTCGACACCACGGGAAACCAAAATATCAAATATTTGTTTTTTCTTTTGCTGGTTCCTCCTCTAAATTTTGTTTTTTCCCGTTCTGGGGAGCGCGGCATTTGAACCATCATTTCTCTTATTCCCATCGTTTTGTTGAAAATATTTTGGCGGAGCATGAATTCGCTAAG